CAATAAAATAATTAAAATATAAAACAATTAAATGCTCACGTTTCGACCGCAACACAAGCAATCATCATCAGGTGTGATGTCTGTGAAACACCGAACATGTGAAAAAGAGCTTCATAGCTCATTGGATTCCTCCAGTAAAAATACATAACTGTATGCGTATTCGGATTCTGATTCCGAAGCGCAATTTTTGACCCCTCGGCAGCCACTGGCATGCGTGCGCTGCGATGCCACGAGAGGTCGTCGCTGACCCAGAGCCCCTGCGTGGGATTTGTCACGTGCTCAATTCTCATTCACCGCGTCCTGCATCCCACACATCACACACGGAGCAGCGATTCTAAAACTCCCAGTGCTCGCTACCCCCACCCCTCCACGCGATGGTGAGAAATTAACTAGCTCGCACGTCTCTCTCTCTCTCCCCGTGCTCGCGTGGAATTTTCTCTGGGTTTTCCGCGTGATTAGCCACTTCCGTGAGCTTTCATTTGCGGTCAGGTCGCTTCTGAAAAGAGAGCTATACAACTCAGTGGGCCTTACCTGGTCAAGTAAAATAGTTTGAATATTTTTTCACATCTCTCCGCGTTGACCGGCTTACTCCTCCGATGATCGTTAAAACACGGACCCACGTGAACGAGCGAAGCAACTGACGACGTACGCGTGAAGAGTCCATTTGAATCAGCATCTGCGTGTGTCCACGTGTTCCACGTGACGCAAACAGCAATCATTGCTGAGCGCGTCGCGTGGGACCGTTTGTAACAATCATCAGGCGTGTGCAGCGCGGAATGAGTTAATTTTAATGGAGGGGGGAGGGGGATTGGTAATCGCGGAGACTGAGCATAGTGGGGAGGTCGCGAGGACTGGAGTTTGGGAACCCCAAAACAGAGCATAGCTGTTCTGTTCACCTGTTCACTGGCAACAAGGACACGTGTTGCAATATGCGTGCGTGTCTTCTGGATTGCCCCACAACAACTCATAAACGTGTGCGCGCGCGTGGGGGGAGGTTTTTATCCAGCAGTGGATATTGCCAAAAAAGGCTGAGTCACCAATAATTTAATTATCCGTTTTCCAGTAGCCCGTATTCAACCAGAGAAGTCAATAGCCAACCCACCAAGCCATCGCCGCACGGCTTCTCCACTGGCCCTTCAATGCCCGGGTATGTATGTAGAACTTCTTTCGCACCATACGTAGTCAACCGTGATAATCGGAGGTGCGGGGGAAGGACAACTAGGTTGTGTTGGCTGTACACAGGCTATGTGCATGCTGTGTACAGGCTGGCTTTGCGCATGCTATTTGTTGGCTGTATGTTGAACTTCTTTCTCACCGTACGCAGCCAATCATGGTAATCGGAGGTGCGAGGGGAAACACTAAACACAAAAAGACGTTATAAATAAATGAGTTTTCAATCTAGATGATTTAAAAGTGCAGGAGCCACACTTGGTGTGCGAGTCGTGGTCACAACCTGCCCGAGCCGGTGACCCAGCGGGGCAGCCGGCGGCTCCTGGGGCAGCGAGCGGCTCCTCGCTATTGGGGAGGTCGTGAGTTCAAATCCTGGTTGGGGGGATTGATACAGCCCATCATCCCTTCCTCCGGGGTCGATAAAATGAGTACCACTGTGGGGAAATAAACAGTGGGTGTCTGATGGATCAACTCCCCCTCCAACCCCCCCTTCCCACGGACATAGGAACGTGGAATTTCGACCACTGGCTTTGAATGTTGTAAACAAGAGATAAGCACCAATGCCCCGACGTGGCTCACGTCAGCTGAAGAGTCACGCTGGGGATGGCAGCGAGCAACCACACTCATCATCAGCCGCCCAGACATCATCAGCTGCTCACACTCGTTGCCAAACAGTGACAGGGGTGGGGGTTTATTCGTTATTCTTTGGGGGAAGGAAAATAAAAAAAGAGAATACATTACGAAAACAACCTTAACTTTGTCACAACAAGTCAGTATCAACACATTGTATATATTTTAGAAAAAATAGAACAGCAATGACAATAACAACAAGCGATCGATGATGATGACGATAGTAATAATACTCGGGAGGGGAAACATTCAGGACGACGAGAGCTCCGCAGAGCTCGTAAACGGCACACGCGGCGCGCACGGCAAAGACGACGACGCCAGCGGCAGCAGCAGCAGCAGCAGGAACCTGGATTCTCAGCGGCGAGCTTCAGCAATGGACAGAGACGGCATCTCCACTCCCACCTGCTGTTACGATGAGTATAATTATCATCATCGTAATTATTATCATCATCGTTACGCAAGCGGGCAAGAGAAGCAACAAGTTGCTCAGCTGTTTGAGCCGAGGGCATTATCAGCCCCGTGCGTGGTGGGGGAGAGGGTTCCGATTTTGAGTCGTGGCCGAGGTGGCTCCATGGGGGATGTTAAAGGGGGGGGGGGGGGGGGGGAGGAGCCGCGAGGGAAGCCACGCGGCTCGGGAGGCCACACGTCCGCATGCGGTGGCGAGGGGCGCTCCCCCAGCACGGCGCACAGCGAGCGTCGGCGCCAACGCCAAGCGCGCCGGTTTCACAGTCGGTTCGGGCAGCCCTCGTTTGGCACAATGCGCAGACGCGTCCCGGGCGTACGGGCGCGGCACCCTCGCTGTGCCGCTGTCTCGCGACTCGACTTAACGGCGTTGAATTCGCCTTGCGAGCAAACTCCCAACAGCACGCGCTCCACTCGGTGACCGTTTGGTCGCTAACGAACTTAAACACAAAGATTCACCCTCCCCCCCCTTAGCAAAACAGACTGTTGGGGAAAGTGCTGTTAGCGAGCACCTATTATGAAGGCCGACACGGCACACGACGGATTGGGTGGCCAGCACCACGCCCGGCCGCCTTTGTCTCCCTAATGACGTTTACACACCCGCACCAGGTACTCATTTGAGGCGGAGTCGACCTAGGGGAGGCTCATGGCCGGTTTGGATAATCGTCACTGGTGGTGGCCGAGAGAGGGAATCGAACTTGAGTGGCCGGGGTTGGAGCGTAGCGCACGAGCACACAATACCCACACTCCCGTTTCAATAAATAAGTGAAATTGGCGAGCTTGGTGAAACCGTCTCGCCAGGTGAGGCAGCTACCGAGAACCCAGGTCCACGGTTGGGGCCGTCACGCGGCAGGCGGAGGAGGGGAGGGGGGGTTCGAGGTCGAAGGCCGCCCGAGCGCCGACTCGGCCCTCGCGGGGGCGACCTCAAGCCCGCGCGACCACGGCCTCCCCCCCACCCCCCCAAGAGCGCTCGCCATCGTCCGTCGAAACCGCGGGGTTCTGGGAGTGAGCTCGGGATGGACGGGTGGAGGGGGACGGGGGAGCGAGAGCAGATGTCGGATGCCGCTGCAAGAGCCTCGCGCACTCGCCGCGACGTCTTGCGGAAACACCACCGCCACCACCGCGCTGCTGGGTACTTCTGCCGCTGCACACGGGAGGGCACGGGGTGTGACCTCGTGTGGGGAGGGGGGGGGGTGTGACCTCGTGTGGGGAGGGCGCGTCGGTGAGATGCCACCTCGCTTAAAAAAGAGTGTCGCTTCATGCCAAAGTCTAGACAGGTTTGTGTGTTATAATAGGGGTTTTCCCTTTTTTTCTGGCAACAAAACTGAAACCTTTTTACAAGGATTCATGTCTGCATTAACCACAATACCTGCAGTCAAAATGCAAACAAAAAACATACTACGATAATATATGCATTGTCCTTGAAACTGATTGGTCCACACCAAGGGACGGCTTTCTTTTGAGCCTCGACCCAATTGGTGCTCGACCAGATGACGCCAGAAGGCGTCACACAGCTCAAAGACAATGCACTATCAAAGTAATGAGGGCTCGGGGTGAGCATCTACATCATTAGACCTCCTTTGCCAGTATCAAAATGTAATAATAGGGTTTTCCCCCTTTTTTTCTGGCAACAAAACTGAAACCTTTAACCACAATACCTGCAGTCAAATGTTTGCATTTTGACTGCAGGTATTGTGGTTAATGCAGACATGAATCCTTGTAAAAAGGTTTCAGTTTTGTTGCCAGAAAAAAAGGGGGAAAAACGCTATTATTATATTTTGGTACTGGCAAAGGAGGTCTAATGATGTAGATGCTCACCCCGAGCCCTCATTACTTTGATAGTGCATTGTTTTTGAGCTGTGTGACGCCTTCTGTCGTCATCTGGTCGAGCACCAATTGGGTCGAGGCTCAAAAGAAAGCCGTCCCTTGGTGTGGACCAATCAGTTTCAAGGACAATGCATATATTATCATAGTATGTTTTTGTTTGCATTTTGACTGCAGGTATTGTGGTTAATGCAGACATGAATCCTTGTAAAACGGTTTCAGTTTTGTTGCCAGAAAAAAGGGGAAAAACCCTATTATTACATTTTGGTACTGGTAAAGGAGGTCTAATGAGGTTGTGTTTTTTTTTCTCCAAATTATCCCATCGACGCACGATGGGAGGTGAACTCGTAAGGGGCGATTTTGAATGCCAGCCGCTGCGAATAGGTGACCACAACGCACGTCGAAAGGACGTGGTGCTGGTTAATCCGCGTTTCCACGACACTCACACGAGCCACCCTCGCATTGCCACGGGGATCGTTTGGACGCGACGCGTCTAGACCCAGGGCAGAGAGACGCCGGGAGAGGCGTTCGCCCCAGTTACTGGGGTCACCGCACAGCCCCCCGGCGTGCAGACCCTTCAGCTGCGTTCAAACTCGGGAAATAGTTCTGACCATGCTCGTTCCAGTGCAGACTGAGCTCGCCAGAGACAAACAAATCCGTGTCTCGCAGAAGGAAGGCCATCCAACGCTCTGCCACCAATGTGCACCTGCTGACGTCTTGATGGTCCGGTCAGCAGAACGAACTCAACTCATCTACTTTTGTTCCGGAACAGCTTTGGTTACGATCGCATGTTCAGAACAAAATCTGTGGGGGCTCAATTTTGTTGAACTTTACTCTCACGTCATCGCAGCTCTGAGTGGTGAGGGGGGAGGCGTGCGGTGAGGTGGGGGCATCCGCCTGTCTTTGGGGCTATCTCCCCGCCGCTAAGTTCGTACCGACAGCGGCGCACTGCGCCCCTCTAACACCGACGGCCAGCGACACTCGAGGGGCACACACGGCACAAATCACGGCTAACACACACACACACGCGATACGGCTACACGCGGGGTCAGCACAAACGCGGGGGGTGGGGGGGCTCTGCTCGGGCACTAACGCTCAGCCCGAGCTCCAAATCGTGGCCTCTAACGCCATCAATTTAGTTTCGTTCGCAATGCCAGACAAGGCTCTAATCTCGTTACGGTCCGATGCAGGCCGAGTCAGTATTGCCATCAGCTGTCGCTTTAGCGAGGCATTAATTTGAGTCGATTTTGCTCCATTTAATCGGGAAAAAAAGTTTCCGCTTTTTGTCGATATAAATGAATTGTCAAAGTGCCCAACAAACGTTTAAAAAAAGTTTACAATAACTACCACCTTAAAAAGTTTATTTATTATTTATAGTTCTACTGTGTGTTGAAAGCAATGTTTGCCGGCTAGTGTTAATCATGTTAAAACTATTTTAGCATAACATTAATAATCATAGTTTTAATCAGTTTCTTCACAATGTTCAGGATAGCTTAAGTTTATCTTAACATGGAATCAATAACAATCACTTTTCTTTTCCTTCAAAAGCCGGTGACTGACTCGTAACTGCTATGATTCGCCAGCAGTCTTCGCGCGTGTCCATCGACAGGAAGCGACGCGTTAGGATCGGGCCACTTACGGCCACGATGCTGCCCCACAATACAAAGCGTGCTCACCCACTGGACACGACAGACGACGTAAAAGCGCATGCTGTTTGGCAAGTGCGCCGGGCGGCACCGCTCCGGACGCTTCGCCGGCGCCTCCCTCCCTAGCGGGACGAGACAATGACGGTGGTGGTGACGGCGATGGTGGCGGTGATGATGGTGGCGGTGTGGCGGGGCGGCGGTGGTAGCGGTGGTGGCACCGGCGGTGGCGGTCGTGGTGGTGGCCGTGGGGCGGGTGTTCTGTAAAACGGGGAGGATTCCGATTGACGGCGTCCAATTCCGCTGAGGCTCGCGGCTGTAGAATACGAGATTAAAGAAATCCAAAGAAAACTTGTATAACAAGTAAAGTTTCAGCTACGGAGGGGTTTGCGCGGGGGGGGAATAGCGAATGAAGGAGGAAGGGACTGCCGCGCCACGCGAAACGCTGCACGGCCATGGAAACCAAACACGACGCGGACTCCGTCTCCGAGCGACCCACGTGACGCCGCCTCCTCTCCCCCCTGCAATCACCAGGACGCGCTTCGTGTTACAGTGGCAGCAGCAGACTGCGGGTCATGCACTGCCCCGCCGCTGGCGTTCACCAGCGGTGTCACGGTGTGCAACTGCATTAGGTCAAGTGACTTAGCTTCAACACTTGGTGTTTTTTTTATAATTTATGTATTTTCTTAAAACAAGGAATCCACCCAAAAATCTGAGTGGAGATCCGATGGATGAATTTGCATTGTCGACCATGAACGTTTTCTCTCGACGGTTAAAACTCTCACCCGCCGTGCGTGGTTCACACGGGATAGGGGTTTTGGGGTGCAGGGAAAGGAAGGGCCGGAAAACGTAAAGGAATGTGAATCGGGCGGGAGAAAATGCCGGTCAGCCCAACCTGTGATGAAAGTCACTCCCTGTCGTACACAAGAGTGAGGGAGTGAGGAGGCACGAGACGGAGAGCGACGGGCGAAAGACCGAGCCTGCCGCAGAGGATTTTATAAGCGGCTCTTTCTGGTGGTAACCAGTTAGGGGAAAGAAAGGAGGAGATGGTAACGATTGACTCGAGCGCATGTGTTGTTTGCGTGGTGTTGCTGTCGTTGGCCGAGGGGTGGGTAGAGCTCAGACGCGCGCACACGCGCCCATACGCGCATACAGACACTGCGCGGTCGATGGCAAGAACACAACTCGACGCATAACGGGTCCCGGAGAGGAGTGCGCCATTGCCGCCGCCGCCGCCGCCAGATGGTTGTCGCCGGCCAGGCGAGTTGGCGGGACCGCACTCGTCACGGCCGAAGCGTGGTTAGACGGTGACGGCGCTCGTGCCCTGCTTGCCGATGAGAGCCTCGAGCAGGCGCAGCTTCGCCTTGGCGTGCTTGTACTCGGTGTACTGCTCCGCGAGCGTCGAGCGGTCCTCCTTTGCCACGTTCCTGCACGCAGCGTGGGGACCGCGGCACCGCAAGCGTTCAGTTCCACCCACCCCGGTGAATGCCGCGCCCGCGCCGCTCACGCCGTCCTCAAGCGGCTGACAGAGATGTGTGGCGATTCGTCCCGTTGTCGACAGACGCGTTCACGCATCGTCTCCAACGATCGGACGGAAAATGAACATTTCCCAACATATCGCTTGTGGAGGTGCATCTCTATCATTGACTGTGGGGGGGCGGTAGAGGTCGAGAGATGAATGAGTGACCTCCCATGAGGGGGAAGGGAGCATAAACTGGGGGCTTTGATCGAGAGCCTCGGTTGCTGTGCTGTCAGCGAGCGTCTGTTAAGGCTGCATGATGCACGAAAGACGGTGCGGCCGGCACCATCCAAGCCAGGCCATCTCTGTTTCCGCACTGTCAGTATCCACAAATTGCATCTGGCGTCCACTGCAAGAAACTTGCCATCCGGTCATCCTCGCAGCAGCGGATTTTGGCTATAGCCATCGAACAATGACGGTCACTGCATCGTGCGGTTTCAGACGCGCTTCTGCGGCCGCCTGGAACACTCCTCCTTCCGATATTAGGAAGCCACTGGAGCTTTGCACTTTTAAATAATCTAGATTGACAACTAATTTCTTTAAAACAGCAATTTGCATTTCATTTGTTGTCCTTCCCTCGCACCTTCGATTAGTGGGGTTGGCTACGTACGGTGCGAAAGAAGTTCGACATACATAGTGCCTCTTACTTTACCGTAAGGGATCTCCCGACATAGGAATGTGGAATGTCCACAAGATGAGGGCGTTTGCCCGAGCACGGCCGCGTGCAGGGACATACTTGGACTTGAGTGGGGCCTGCGACGAGGCCTGCTGCCCGTACCGGCCGGTGTGCCGGTAGAACGAGTCCTCAAAGTCGCGCAGCAGCTTGCGCAGGCGGCGCTTGTCCGAGCGCGTGGTGCGGAGGTGCTCCATCAACTCCTCCCTGCGCACACAAAAAATACAAAGATCCCCCCCCGTCTATAGCCTCAACAGACCGTTAGCGAGGAGCGCCTATGCAAGGCCGGCATGGCACACGAGGGGGCGGGTGGCCGGCATCATGCTCGGCAACATTTGTCTACAGAGTGGCTGTGTTTACACATTGTGCCAGGTACTCATTTGAGGCCGAGCCGAACTAGGGGAGGCCCACGACCGGTTCATATAATTGTCACCGGTGTTGACCATGAGCGGAAATCGGACTCTGGTCGCCGGATTCGTAGCGCAGCGTGTTAACCCGCTGCACTACCGCTCTCCGCACGCGCACGGACACTCAGGTCCAGAAGTCGCACAGATACAGCAGCACGGCCTCACACGGCCACCACCACACGATGGCGAGTTCAGCGAGCGCCCCCACATGCGGCACGCAAGCGAGCGTTCCCCTGCTGCGTGCGCACGGCACGTACCGCGAGGCGGCGTGCAGCGTGGAGAGCGACGGGTCGGGCCGCACGCGCGCCAGCTTGCAGCTGCTGCCGCAGCTCTCCTCCAGCGGGGAAACGAAGCCGTCCGTGTCCTGCTCCTCGTCCTCCGGCAGAAGGCGGCGCGGCGCAAACGGCGGTGGCGTCGCCGTCGTCACTGGAGCCGCCGCCGTGGGTGCCGCCGGCGACGGCGGCTCCCGCGCCGGGGCCGGGCGCGCCGCGCGAACCGCCTTGCCGTCGTCCTCCTCATCCGTGCCCTCCTCCTCCTCCTGTAGCGCACGGTTCGTTCGTTTGTTCGCTCGTTAGGTACAGCCGGCAGGGACGTGGTGCAGAGCGAACGCGGCAAACCGAGGAGGTGGCGGCGAGCGGTGGAGCGCTTACGATGATGGGGATGGCGCGCGCTCGCACCAGCAGCGTCTTGACGGAGCGGTAGCGGTCGTACAGTGGCTTCACCTTGTGCTTCTCCTGGCGCGTCGTCTGGAGTGGCGCACGCACACACAGGCAGGCGGACAGAATACGTGTTACTCCACCGCACACCAAATAACAAACCCGCAAGGTTGCGCGATGGCCTGGCCTGCAAGCACACTTGAGGCGATTATTGGAATGGTTCTGTCAATGGACTATCGTGTGTGTGTGGCTGCACAATCTTAAGGTAATTTATCGGGCAGGAAAGTGGACTGGCCAGGCAAGTTTGAGTCAAGTTGTGCTCTCCAAATAGTTAGCAACAGCATGGGGGGATGGGATGGAATGCCTCTTGCCTTCTTTGGGAATTAAGCCTACACCAATTCACACTCAGCAGCGGAGTTCATGAACAGGTGGAGAGCCGCATCCCCGCTTTGCTGAACGTGGCATCTAAACGCCACCGCATCACCAAGACGTTGAGGGGAAATCGACAATTCCACTCACAGCGGCATAATTATCCTCTGTTGGATGAACCCAGAGGCAGTTGCTGGTTAAGAAACTCCGCCGGGGTTGCAATCAACTTGGCAATGATAATTGCGGAGCGCCTCTGAATCGCATCTTTGATTTAGCGGCGCTCGAGTCTCATTAAACTATGAATGATGAAAATTACAGTATTTTTTAATCAACCAGGTAAGGCCCATTGAGCTATTGAACTCTTTTTCAGAAGCGACCTGGCCACAAATTATAGCTCAATGAAGTGGCTAATCACGTGGACATTTATTGCATGTTTTCACATGTGGAGGGAAGAACCAGAGGACGCGGAGAAAAATACATGCGACCATGGGGAGAGACATGCGAACTCCAAAATAGACAGCAAGCGTCAGGGTCCTGATCGAACCCACGACTTCTTGTATACCCAGCAAGGAGGATAACAGCTCGCCAACGTAGTACCCCATTGCCTTTGCGTGGAGCCGGCGGGCGTGAGGCGGGCAAGCTGGGTGCGGACGAAAGGCGGGAGGAGGTAGTTACCGGTCGGCCATGAATGCTTTCGAAGTACAGCAGGCTCTTCTGGATGGCCACCTTCTCGGCTGCGATCTGTTCCCTCGTCATCTCCTGCGAGAGGCAACATGCAAAGCGCGCGTCGCTACGGAACGTCCTCCCGGCCCCGAGAGGGAGAGCCCCGCTAAGCCCGCGCGAGCGTCAGCTGGATCGACGGGCACGGCTGCCCGCTGCGCAGCACGCATCTGCTCTGGGGTTGCGGTGGCAGTGGGTGCACTGCGCTCGCATAGTGATATCGGAAGCAGTCTCATGTGTGCGTTAAAGCTTTGACTGTGTCTGTAATAAAGCCAGATATGATGAAAAAAGAAGAGGGTTTATCCTTTCTGGCAAAAACACACCTTTTGCAAGACATCAACTCTGCATTAACCACACACGCTTGTGGTAAAATATGCAAACAAACATACTCCAAGAATATATGTACCGTCTTTGAAACTACTTGGCCTACACTAGAGATAGACTTTATTATAGCTTTGTTTCACCAGTGTTAGACCAGAGAATGGCAAAAGGCAAACAAGTACAATGGGGATGCAAATATCAAAGCATTAATAACTCGGGGTGAGCACTTAGATCTATGGGACCTTTTGCCAGCATTATATATTTTTTATAATCTTGATACTGGCAAACATGTCTAATAGATAAAGCCAGATATTGTGAACATACAGATGAATGAAGGCCTTCAGTATGACCCCCCCCCCCATAGGCATTGCTGGGACGATTTTGATATTTTGACTGGGGTTTATACTAATTAGTGGAAATGCCCTAAGGCAGGTATGCATGCTGATGGCCACACCACTCCATCACCTTTTAAGCCAGCCTTAATAGGCGCTCACCATCAGCATTAGCCCCCAAAGACAAAGATCCAACGTATAGGTTTCAACAGACCATTGGGGCAAGTGCTGTTAGCGAGCACCTGTGTAAAGTTCAGGCCTTCATGAGGGAGTGAGTGGTCAACACCACGCCCGGCCGCCTTTAACTCCCCAGTACGGATTTTTGCACACCGCCTCACGTACAGAGTCCACACTAGCCCCCACATTGCGTAACGCACACACACACACACTCTGTGTCGCAGTGCAAGCCATGTATTCGGGGCCAGCCGCTAACCTTGGGACTGTCCGGTCGTGCTGCTTGCTGCCTCTTCTCCTTCAGACGGAGCTCGATCGCCTCCATCGTCTGCTCCACCGTGGGCCTCTCTGCCCTGGGCTTCTCCGCCGTGGGCCTGTGGGCAAGCTTGGGCTGCTCCGTGCCTCGCCGCGAGGCTTTGGGGGACCCGGCGGGGGAGCTGTCTGCCCGCACCGTCCCCTCCGGCGTGTCTGCCTCTGCCGAGGGCACCTCCGTCGAGGGGATCTCTGCCGAGGGCAGCTCAACCGTAGGGAACTCCGGGAGGAGGCTCAGCTCGCAGGGCCGGCTGGAGCCAAAGCTCCGCGGGAGGGTGTTGCTGCGCTGTCGCGTCAGGGCATCCCTGCCACTCAGCGTCTCCTCCTGCGACTGCTTTAGCCTGAGCTCTGTGTTTACAAAGCAACACAAGCAGGTTTACGTTGGTTAGCCGTCATCATCATCGTCACCATCATCGGACATGATCTATCCACTGCTGGACGAAGTCATCCCAAAGTCGGTCTCGTGATGCAAGGATCCAAATCTAGCTCCTGCGCACGAGCTCCATTTCCATGGGGGAAGGGCGTAATTGCATCCGTGTTGCCTCCTTGCAGCTTTTGCTCCACCAATAGTCTTGACAACCGGCCACTGTCCCTTCCTGTGGCTCGTGCTGCCCGAGTCACTTACTCGTCTCTAACACTCGATACGATAAGCGATGACTCATCGTATTCGGGCCAAACATGTAAATCCCCCATGCTTGTCTGTGCACTTAATGCGCTCATGAGAGTTAACCGAGGTGAACGCGATCGCTCGTGTTCATCTCACTGCTGCGATTGGTGTAATCTTCACATCTGGGATTCTAAGCTGACTGCGGTGACCTCTGTGTGTGTCTGTGCGCAATACTGCAGGAGGAACCACGATCCCAAAGCCTCTGTCATCTCCTCGCCGGTGTTGACACTCCACTCCCCACAGTCCACACCGCCCATTCGCATTCCAGCTGGGGCGCACGCGAAACACGCACGCCAGGCACACCCTTGCTATTAACAAGGCACAGCCCTGCAACCACTGGCTCACAGCGCTGCTGGTAAGAAGATCATCTGCTATAGGGAGCTCTATATAAACTTCTCTTTAAGAGGGCAGTTTATGGCTAACTCTTCCACACCGGCCAGAAGTCTTGGAAGAGGTGGAAGTTCCGAGACTTTATCCCACCGCACGCGGTCTGTAGTTCGATGGAATTGAACCGGCGACCTCTGTATTGGAAGTCCGCTGTGCCGACCATTACACCACTACTGTGGCAGCATCATTTGTCACAGGAGTGTGGCGAAGGCAGAGTGATTCACCCAGTATGACTCGCATACAGTGTGACTCATACTAAGCATGACTCACACAGAGTGTGACTCAGACACAGCGTGAACTCGTTCTAAGCATGACTTTGCACTCAGCTTGACTCTAAGCAAAGGATAAATCTGCAGGCGGTGACGCGTCGAGTGGAGACGTCACCTCTGAGCTGCTTGCGCGAGCGAGCAAGGTCGTTCATCCACTTGAGAACTTCCGGGTTGGTGACTTTATCACTGTGACTCGGCTGCATCACACACAAGCACACAACACCAAGGGGGGTGTTGTCCATCATCATCACCGCCACCTCTTCTAGTATTCGCGAAGATGACTGTGTAGGTTTTCACAGTTCTGCTGCGTAGCCCTCCGCTGCATTCATGGGTTGTGCCACATGTTGTTCGTCACGCCAAACAACACGTGGCACAACGCGATCACAACGGGAGGGGCCACTCGCTAACATTCCCTGCTTCACTGAACGAGGGCTCCCTGCGTGGCACGTCAGCCTCTTGCACGTGCATTGGTTTACAACGCCGTGTAGATTTCTAAAGAAAACTAAACTTTTTTTCAGTCTCTAAACGTTTGCCAGATTAAGTCAAAACCCAAACATAATGACGGGTGTTTTATTCGTGCAGTCCATTGATGACGGGGCTTATGTCAGCCACTCGCTTCACTTGAGAACCCGGTTTAACTACCGGTGGCTGAACCAAGGAGCCAAAACCAGGATGTCAGCCGTGCCGGCTCAGTTTCTGTCGCCCATCACCAGGACCGCTTGGAGGGGGCGGGGGAAAATGTAGTTCTTTGCCCGAGGCCTAACACAAAAAAGGTCCTCGCAATGGTCCGGTATTTGTCGGAATTTTGCAAAGAGGCACCATGTTGTGTTCTGCTCTGAACCTCTGGGGAGCCTCTGGGCGGCCCTGCCTATATCGCCGAGTTGTGTGGCATGGCGAGAGACACGGGGAGAAGCGCGGGGAGCGGCGCGGGACCTACCCGATAGCGGTGCTCCTCCTGGAAGCGTTCCTCGAAGCGCCGGATCTTCTTCTTCAGGCTCTGGATTCGCTTCGAAAGCTGCGATGATGTCACCTCCTCCTTGTCGTGCTCCTCCTCGCGGGAGCCCAGCGACGATGACCTGGGCCTGCCGAGGAGGAGAAGGCCACACCCCTCGTCACCCGAGAAGTCGTTGAGGCCCAGGTGGGCGCATGTTTCACCAGGCCACGCCGTGTGGCAGGACTGGGCGCGTCACGACCAGCACTGGACACGTACCGCGTCATGTGTCATCATGATGTCACAACGTCCGAACACGTGACCGCTAACCTGCACTTTGTCGACTGGTCTCACCTCCCTGTTGTTCATCTCCCTTTCATCTCACAAATCTCTTTTATCTAGTCTACAGAGCTCTCATCTACCCAAATCTCTGTCAATGTCTTGGCGAGCCGTATCTCTCAGCGGACCAAGGCTCGGTGGGCCACTTCCAAGACCCACACCGCAGGCCCCCGGGGCAGGAGCCCGCCATCCCGTGGCGTGTGGTTGGGCGCCTACACTGCGCACACGCCGCACCTTTCCGATATTGTCACCAAGACATTTCATAGTCACCCATTCTTTGCCATATTAAATCAATTATCTTTACGTTAAATTGTGTTCAAAATGTAAGTATTTTTTTTTTAAATTAAACGCTGGCCCACAAGGGGACAGCCAAAGAGCTGCAAGGGGGGAAGCCAAAGAGCCGCAGGTGACCCCAGGGATTTACCATCGCCTCCCTATATCTGTCGCTCCACATAAACTGTAAAGAGCATTCCTTACACGTCCCATCTGCGCTTTTGTGGCCATCTAGAACACTCTTCTTTTCCGATGTTAGGAAGCCGCTGTTAACGAATTTCTTTCTAACTGCTTTTTGTGTTTAGTACGGTGCGAAATTGAACGTACATACATAACTACATATGCCCTGGCGACCCACCCCACCCCTCACCTCATGAAGCTGGGCAGGTTGGGTGGCGACGGCGGCGCCTCGGGGTCCGTGTGGTAGCGCTGCGAGTGGCTGAAGCTGGAGCAGCGTGGCGACAGCAGCGGGTCCGCTTCGTCTGCCAGGAGGCGGCGGATGAGGCGGCCGGGCCGGGGGGAAAGGTGCGGCTCGCTCGACTCCGAGCGCCAATCCCGGAACAACCGCACCGGCTCTGCCGGCACGAGGCGACGGGGGGCGGCACACGCGTGTAGACGTGGGGTTTGGTGCTCAACGCGTCGTAGATCGTACAGAGATCATTATCCATGCTTGCTGACCTGCCCATACTGGACATACGTGAAAAAGAGCTTCAGAGCTCATTGGATTCCTCCAGTCTAAATAAAGATTATGATTCTGCCAATCAGCATTAGTCATTGGTGAACGTGCCTCTAGGTGCGTGACAGGCGGACGGACAGGTGACGCTTTTAATACGTCAGGATGTGTGCGTGTGGGAGGGAACGCGAGCAGTGGGAGACACGGGCACATACGAGGAGGACCGCAATCAAAACCCTAGCAAGCAGTTCAGCAGCCTGCTTGTGAGCTTTACTGTCTCATGCAGGCCCAAGCCCACGGGCTAAGTAGTGTGTCGGGAGTTCCTTGTGCGCCCACCGCGCCCGGCGCACAAATAAAACACGCCGGCGTACGTACCTCCCCACTCCGTGTCTGGCGCGATGCCGGCCAGGTCCAGCAACGGAACGTCGGTCCTGCGCGCGGTGCCGCCCACGGCCGTCTGCGAGGGCCCCCCGAGGCCCCGTTGGGGAGACGCCGATGACAGCTCTTGCTCCATGGGCACCACCTCGTTGTTGTTTTCCTCCTTCCACTACGCGAGGAGTGCGGGAAGGGGTTTGGGGGGGCAGTGAGACGTGGAACCAGCATCCGGTCGCGCCGGTCGCGGTCCACGCGGCCACCGTGGCCATCGTTGAGAACCCCCGGCCCTATCGCCAGCGCAACCCAGCGGCAGCGTTAGGTGACGCGGCGCCCTGCTGATGAGACGCCCTCCCCCCACCGTTAACAAAAACCGGCCACGGGTTTCTCTGCTTCAACAAAATGCATCTGGAAATCGGCGGTCAAGACATTGCACCGAATGACGGGAAGCAGAACGTTGTTGTTATTTTGGGGGAAATTAAACTGGTTCCATTTTTTGCTTCATCACCTACCTACTCACTTACTCACCTGAAAATGAATTATTTTGTCATTTTAAAACGGATTCTTGCACAATTAATTTACCATTGTAGCACCGATTTAGGTGCCATTGTATTGCTTAAACCTGGACCCATTCATAACGAGAGCAGTTCCCAACCCCACCTTGCCTGAGTGTGAACAAAAGGAAGCCTTTTCATGGACTTGATAATAAAAATGATTTAGTTTTTATCGAGCAGCGGCATTTATGAAACTGCAATACACGGTGCTACATAATCCGCGACACACGGAGATGCGCGTATATATTAAGATATTTTTAACTGAGTGAGTATACGTGTATATTAATATATTTTTAACCGAGTGATTATACGTGTATATTAAGATATTTTTAACTGAGTGATTATACGTGTATATTAATATATGTTTAACTAAGTGATTATATGTGTGGGAGGAAGAGAGCACCTGGAGAAAACCCATATGTACAAGGGGGCAAAACTCGATCCCAAACAGGTGGAACAGATGATATCGTCCGCATTTTGCCGTACCGCCTTCTCCTGGCGAGCCAGCATACATGCACCTCCTCGATGCACACGGCAAGGGAGTTTCACAACACTTGTACGGTGACCCACCAACCCTCGCTGCCTCCCAAGTGCTGGATTACAGGCCACGTGCGTCGCCACTACTGCCGCCCGGCTGTGTCAACACGGCCGGTGCCGGTCCCTTACAGCTCGCTCACAGAGCTCACACGCAGCTTGTAAAATCGTTTAACTTTCCAGTAAAGAGCCGATTGCTTCCAACGCAGTTGTGCGGGCCAAGTCAGAAGAAGCGCTCCTATGGTGGGGGAGGGTGACGTGGCCGGCTGCTGCTGGCGCAACACACCGCTGGCACAACACGCCGCTTTTGCCGCACGTTTCCAACCGCCGGCTGCGACAATCGCTGAGCAGGGGAGCTCAATGCAGAGACGAGCGCGTTTTGATTGCTCTGCTCACGCAACCGCTTTGCCCCAACCGCACAACTCCCAAGAATGGGGGGCGCACAGTTAAGGTTGCGCGTTGCACAAGAACGTCAGAGATGCGTGCTAAAGAAAACATTCTTCGAAAAACAGCGGCAACCTCAACAATTCTGCCAACTCCCAGGTGTGATAGAGAAACACCAACCCGAAAGGAAGCCTATTTTTATAATCGTCCTGCTATTTCAAAAGCAACTTCAACCCTCGTGATACTTGGAAAGCCAAAGGGAGCTCACAACAAGTCACAAACAAACTTCTCGTGAAAGAATCGACGCAGAAGATCCCTGGCTTTGATCTTATACAAAGCTTATGGCCACAACCCCTAAATTGCATCTGCACAAACCATGACAGCAGCAGATGCAGTTACTTGGTGGATGCGACTGTGGTCACCCAGAACAGACGATGGAATACATAACGACTCGATGGCCGATTCACAAACACAGAGGCATCACCGCAACGATTCCCCACTCCGCTACTCCTAACGCAATAACCTGGCACAACCGCCTCAATGTAGAATTACATCGGTTGATCTACATTAACGAGGAGACTCAATAGCAGTACAGGGAGTTTCATAACGTCTCGTCGGTCGCTTGTCCGGTTAGACTATTGATGCACGGAGGCGGGGAAGCAGTGGATGTGCGGCAGGAATCAATGCAACTCCAGCCAGTGGGAGGCTGCGGTGCAAAACAAAGATCCCCTGGAAAGCCTTAACAGACTGTTGGGGCAAGTGCTGTTAGCGAGGACCTATGAAGGCCGGCACAGCACACAAGGGGGTGGGTGACCAGCACCACGCCCGGCTGCCTTTGCCTCCCCAGTGGTGATGTTTTACAAACCGTACCAGGTACTCATTTGAGGCCAAGTCGACTTAGGGGAGGCCTAGAACCGGTTCAGATAATCGTCACTGGGGTTGGCCGTGAGCAGAAATCAAACTCTGGTCGCTTGGTTCGTAGTGCAGCGTGTTAACCGCTCCACTACCGCTCCCCATGTGCGTGCCAGATACAAGTAACAATGATGGGAAATTCCACTTGAACCTTTTATGAATTCTAGACTCTGAATATTTAAATGACCAGATTTCAAAAGGGCCTGGAAATAGACTTTGGCCTTTTTGGTCGACTCAGCCCTTCACCTCTCCGGGGTCAATGAAGTAACACTTTGTAGGAAGGAAAAGAGTGCTTTTCCTGTAGACATACTTGTTCATGCCATACGAATGTGGAATTCCTAGGGTCAGGACTGTAAAGAGGAGATGAGAATCGGCCCGTGGTCATTTGAGCGGCAAGTTACTTTATTTTGGCCTAACAGCATCATCAGCTTATCAATGGCCACAAACGTATGACTCATTATAACCACTAGAATGTGGAAAACACTAGATCTGCTTTGCGACAAACACAGCTCAATCTCTCGCCTGCCGAAAGCATGCGACACAGTACCCTAAGCTGCAATGCAGACACGGCCACATTTCCCCTTAATGAGTGCTTATCAGCGAGCCAACACCCAGGTCCCCGATTGGGGTGTACGCCGAAATCTGTCACGCCGACGGCTACACTTTCGTCGCGACGCGGAACCCCTCTCTCCCCCCTCTTGACTTCTCCGGCAACGGCGCCCGATTTCTATAACGCCATTGGTCGTCTGCCGCCAGCGTTAAGAGCGGCCGATGCCTCACCGGGGTCCCTGGAGCCGTGCCGCGGGGCGGCAGCGGCGGCGGGCTACGTTTTTGCGTCGCGCCACGGCTCGGCTTGCGGCGGTTGCGGGGCGGCGGGGCGCGACTGGCCGTCAGCTGTGCGACACGACAAATAAAAATAAAATAAAAACAAAACCCACCGTCGCAATTCCTGATCCTGAGTCAGGTTCTCTCTCTCACGAAGAAGGCAAGGGAGGGGGGGGGTCTCGTTTCACTTTCGCTCACGTCTTCATGGATGTCTGACACACATATATATATGTGTTGACACACATATATATATGTGTTTGAGCGAAGGCCGGGGGAGGCTCTGTGGCTCAGCGGGTGAAGGAACAGTACTCGTGGGACTGGCAGGAGGGTACTACGGGTCTAGAGCAAGCGAGCTACGGAGCAACTGAGCAGCGCCGATGAGTACTTAGACGAGCGAGTAAGGAACAACAGACAGCAACCGTGGCAACTACTACTATTTTACCAGGTAAGGCACCACTGAACTAAAAAGCTTTTTATCAGAAGCGGCTTGGCCACAAATGATAGCTCAACGAACTGGCTTATAACGTGGAAATTTATAGTGGACAAATATTCTAAACCAGTGGTTCTTAACCGGAGGTGCACGCACTCTCTGAGGGTGCGAGATGCCCTAAACAGGGGTGCAAGACATCTCAACGTTTTTAGAATGTAAATAATCGAAATTATATATTAAAAATGGTCACGTAAGACAACTACTTTGTTTCATCAAACCTATGTTTGATGAAACAAAGTAACATTATAAGTTGTTTAACGATTGAGAACCAAAGGGGGTGCAAGGCTGCAGTAAAGGTTAAGAACCACTGCTCTAAACGCGTGATGTTGTTTCTAAATGTGGAGGGAAAAACCCGAAGACCCGGAGAAAAATCCTCGCGACCATGGGGAGAACACGCAAACTCCAAAAATACAGGTGTCAGGGTCGAACCCACAACCTCCTGTGTACCTAGCGAGGTAGTTAACATCTTGTCACCGTGGCAACTAACAGTGACAACAAGAGATGTCACCGATCTGCGGCGGACCGTGTTTATTATTGTATCGTAGCGTCAAATAAACAGGTTTAATTTTGTGTTAATTATTTCTTAACCCTCCTCTTTTCCAAACATAGATGGACTCGTCCAACTGAATAACTGTCAAATCGCTCTCCGTGGTGCTAACGTTAAAAAAACGCCACTTTTTTCAAAATTTCTTGCTGTGATTTTCACACCTGATGATGATTGCTTGTGTTGCAGTCGAAACATTGTGATAATTTTATTGTTTTATATTTTTATTATTTTATTTGTTTCCCTTCTACGTGACTTTACCAAAAGAACCAAGAATACAAAATTAAGTTTTAGTCAAAATGTTTCATGATGCCCATTCCCTTGCGTGTCCATTTACCCTTCCCCGGAGCCAGATATCCAAGTCTATCCTAACCTACTCACTTGCCCGTGTGTGGACGCGCACCGTGTATCACTACATCTTGCGAGTACCACACGACTTCACGTGTGTGTGTGTGTTGGGAAAAATAGAGAAAGGAGGGCATAACTATGGCCGGGAAGTCACGGCGCTTCATATGGAGCGACACAGCCAGGTAGCTTCCACACAGCGCTACGCAGCTGATGAAAAGGTAATGCCGCCAGACGGATGTTGGCGAGACCTCTGCTGCAAAACTTGAGCTGGCTCTGTGGTGACGTCACCGTCACTTGGTGTCGAACGGCGGTTGTTGTAATCGTTGTTGAGCAAAATACTTTCAGCTACAAGTAAAAAATCTTGAATGATTAATGTGCAAAAAAGTGTCGTTACGTGTACTTATGTGTACACAGGTGTGTGTACGTGTGGTTACGGAACGTCGGACAAACACTCACGAGGGGTGGCTATTTCCCTCGTAGGGTCTGTCCCCCCGCGCTCCCTCGGTGTTGTTGTGGTGTTTGTCGCCATACTGACCGAGGACAGAGTCGTCGTGTTCACCATGTCAGCGAGCTCCTCTCCTTGACTTGTGTTCATCTTCTTCTTCTCTTCCTCCTCTTCCCTAGCAATCGTCAACAGCAAGGCGACGACGTCACGCACGAATACAAATACACCGCGACCACCCCCGCCAGCAAGCGGGGCAGAAAAACACGCGTTGGCAAATATTAATCCAGCTTCCTCTTGACTCAGTGTGCAAGAATAGATGGAAGCCTGCTGCTGCAGCTGCGTGGTCAGCAGGGAATCGTCAAAGCATGGGTATACAAGGCGAGCGCCAACGATCCTCTGGACAACTTCGCAGGAATGTTAGAAACCAGAACACAGCCTAAGTGATGCTTGTATGTTATTGTGGTGACCATCAGGTTCTGGGACCTGTGCTGTAATCCCGTGACCGTAGAATTATAATTTGCACGAATCGTGCCGAGTTGCTACGAGCCCGCTGTCCTTCACCGATCGCCAAGTTTCCGTTGGCTTAGCGGCGCAGCTTGTGTTACCAATGCGGCTCATGAGCCAAAACGGTATCATCGCTCGGGTCACGGTGACCGGTACCACGGCGTCTCTTACGGTGGCAGCAGAACGCGGCTCGCAGGCTTCCCCTCCTCCATGTCGGTCTCCGAATCCGTGGCGGATGTCCGACCGGTCCCGCATGACCCTCCCGGGCCAGCGCTCTCCATCGCCTGGAGACAGCGTCGCGTTGCGCAGAGAGGACGCCGCGTTAGCAACGCCGCAACGACCCTGGCACCACTCGCTGCAGGGTTCATGCGTGACGCCCCATGGCGTCGTTTGTAAATACCAGGCCCTGCTACGGTGTCAGATAGTACACGCAGAGCCCTCGTGTTGATCCACTGCTGGATGAGGGCCTCCACACACCATGCAGGTCGTGGGGATCCAAAGCGTGGAAGCGCAGACGTGGGAACGTCAACGATGGATTTGTTCTGCTGCCCACACAACGTGGCACCGCAAGCGTTATCTCGGCCTATCCAAGCGTTATCTCGGCTCGACCCTGCTTAGCACACACACCGGGTGACTGGGTCACCGGTGGTGTCAGAATGAGCTGTGCAAAGATGTTAGCGGCTGTGCAAACAAGCGATCGAATAAGAGAGTGGGCGCTAACGGAAGCAGTCTAAGTCAAGGGCAGATCAACTGGGAAGTCACCACTCGGATGCAGCAGCAGCAGCGGCGGCGGTGGCGATCCAAATCTGATCGGTGATCCCCTGGCTCAATTTCCGGTGTGGTTCTGGACAGGACCAGCACCAGTGCAGTGGGTGCGATAAACACACGATAATTAATCTACCCATGGCTATTACCCACAAGCACGTGCATGTGCGCATGCACACACGCACTTGAAATAGCGAACGTGCCCGGCGGTCAATACGACGCGAGCACAAAGTCTGCGCCCTTGATCCAGTCCTGCGTGGAAACTCATTTTCACAAACGCACTGCAGTGTCCGGCCTCCCAGAAGGGAAGGAATTAGTCCCGAGGGGCACCACAAGTGAACCAAGGCGCGTGACAAATGCGGGAATGTCAATGTCATGTGCACCTTCGTAACTTCATGACGGACGCGACTCTAATGACTTAATTTCTCAAAACTCTGTGGTCACCGATGCATTGCGCCCATCCAAACCCACGGGGCCCGTCGTGCTGGCCAACGCAGCACGCTCTCACGCAGCGCGTTGATGTCTGCAAACAAGCTCTGCCAAGCTCCTAAGGTGTTTTAGTTTTAGAACTGTATTTTCAGTCATTTATTTGTTCTTTTATGTCACAATGCAATCCTGAAAGCCACGGGCCAGGTATTAGTGAACTCTGCCCCTTAATAAAAAAAAGCATCCCTGTGTCATCTGGAATGCATTAAAACCTAGCGTAAGCTTATTATGGGCAATCGTAGTTAACCCAATAATAGTCCTGGCATCTCACGTTCTCTTATGATCTACACAATAATGCCGGCGCTACTCTGGTTCACACCAACTTGGAAGCACCCCAAACCTACTTCCCGTCCTTTACACTAGCTGCCACGTGTGAACGCAAGACAAAGCGTCACGCTGGTTACATCAGCCACGGCAACGGCGGCCAACAGGGCAGTGCACCGCTGTCCGAACACCGTCTCGGCCTAAACCGGGCGCTCCAACCGGGAACGCGATGGCTCTGTGATAAAACCAGCGGAACGCCGCGGGCTACGGTGACGCATGTCAACGGTTGGCATTCGGTTTCACCGCACGTTAAAATTCACCGCGCAGCACGGAGCCGCTGGCATATGGGAGTGGAAAACAAAAGTGTATTTTTAAATGGCTGACCTCTTGCGCTGGCTGGCCGCCCCGTTTGCTGTTGGACCGCTGTCGCTTGGCTCTTAGGCCCCCCTGGTCATCGGGCGTGCCAGGCCCCTTCCCGCTCGTGGCGCCACCGTCCCCGCGCTGCTTCTTTGGCACGTCCGACTTGGCAGCTGCGTCCGTCTGGGCGCCCGCGTTGGGGTCCTCGCAAGCGGGCATGTTCACCTTGTTGGTGTCGTCCCTGCTGTGTTGTTATGGGAGCGCGAGTATCGGGGGGGGGGGGGGGTGAGGGGGTCACGCGGACGTACCAACAAACGGACAAAGTACCCAGACACACATGCACACAGAGGGCAGGGATGGGAAGAGTGAGACGGTGGAAAGGGGTTTAACTTTACCCAGTGCAATGAGGAGAGTAGAGGGAATTGGACAGCAATAAGTGACGAACGAAAGGAGAGGAAAATCCAAATAAAAAATACCACGATAGATTTTGCGTGTGCGTCTGCCGATTTGCACGCTGTGCTATGATCCCAGCCATCAAAGGTCAATTCCAGGCCACATAAACATTCACAAGCGGGAACTGATGCTTCAACCTGTGCTGGGTCTCCCCTAGGTCACTTTAAACTAATCTTGGGCACTCGGCGTGATGGCGTGACTGACGTCAGAACTCCAGAGACTAAGGTGGCTGGGCAGATAATCACCACTGGTGTTGGCAATGGCTGGAAATCGAACTTGGGACGCTGGGTATTTAGCGCAGTGAATGCCCTCGCTCCCACAATAACTTACTCCAACACTGCAAGCAGGTGGCTTCAAAGGAGGTGAGTGGGGGGCATTCATGGTGGGGGGGGGGGTCTCGTGGACTCACAAGTCAGCCGCATGCGCCCGCCCCGGGGATCTCAGCTGGCGCCGGCGTGGTCTCGCCGGGGCTGCGGTCGTCGTCACAGCGTCCCAAGGGCCGCCGCCGCCGCCCTCATCGCCCGCGTCCGTGTCGAAGAGGTGCTGCTCCACCGTGCTGGCGATGGTTTGCTCCAGCAGGGCTCTGGCGCGCCATGGGGGAGGCACGCAAGTAGGGCCGGGGGGTTAGGGGCCGAGCGGCGAGCCCCCCAAGGGAGACGTGAGAAGGCCCCGGGCGAAGCCTCCTGCCGTGCCGGCAGTCGTTCGTGGCTTTCACGGCGACGCTCAGCGTAACTGACAGGGCTCGATAAAGAAACGAGTGCTGACCGATTGGCATTAACGTTTGCGGCATGCCGAGCCAAGAAAGGTGCTCCGTGAAACGGCTCTGATAACCGCGGCCACTGAATGGACGTGGAAGTTACACGAGGGGCAGGGCCCCCTACGGGGCCAGTTGTGACCTGGCGCCCCGCCACGGTATGCCAAATGCTTTCCGTGCAGTGTCCAAAAGGACAAGGGGCGCTTTTGAGTGCGAGCTCTCTACAACTACTACCACCAAACATGCGCACGCCGCATGACTGAAAATGCCATAGCATTTATAAGCCCGCAATGTCGCAGCGTTGCTTGTGAGCAACGTTTTTCCAAGCTAAAGCCGACAAAATCCTGCCGGCAGGAATGCATGGGACACACAACGCAGTGTGGATCACGGCTACACTTTAATTCTTCGAATACAAAATGAGACGCGCAAATCACATTATTCCTCGCACTCAGAGAGCAAAAGCCACAAATCTCCGCGAGTTCTAAATGGCACTGGACTGGCAGCAGAATCATTGTGAAATCAAACCGGAGGGTTTTACTCACTCGGCAGAGCTGTGCACCGGACTGGAGATGCTGTGGGCACCCGGACGCCAAACACGTCGACAGGAGCGGTGAGGACAGAGAGAGAGAAGTCACACAGAGCAAACAGGTGGGGCTGCGCAACACACGGCACCGCGCCACTACGCCGCCTGTCGCCCGAGAGTGACAGCAGACCAAAGGCTCCTGTGTGGCGGCAGTGGCAATTGGGGCGGGGGCGGCATATACAGCGCGACCCCATAATCCGCCGCACAAGGCTCGTAAATCGGTGCCATGTTCCGAGTAACACCGCATTCCGATTCTCGCGTGCGCAAAAACCTACACGTACGTGCACGGCGCCGCCACCCCCCCCCCCCACACCCCCCACTCCGCTACGGTACTGGGAACCTTCTACAATAACAAAAATAATAGCAATGACGCTGGGAGTAATACAGCAAAGGATAAATAATCAGCAGTGTAAAAACAAACAAAGCCTCTTATCGGATCAGCCGCGTGGCTGGCGCGAGATGAAAAACTGCGCGCTGCTGAGCGAGCGCTGCGTACGGCCATGACCAAAACACGGCCCTGCACGAGTGCCCACGCGCCGTTGTTTACAGCACAAGCGCTCAGGCGCTCGCGGGTACAGCGAAATGCTACAGCCGAACGGTGGCAGGCTTCTCGCATGCAACAACGTGCCTGCAACGCAATCGGCATTAGCAACATTCCGATGTGAACTTTCCACAGCGAAAAGCTGACGTGGCCGAACATGGAATGCTTTCTGCCACTTCACTCCAGCACGAACTCCTCTCCTCGAGAACAATCGCAGTGTTTATCGCTGACGGACACAATGCACTCGTTTCCTCCGCACGTCATTGTCCGTGGCTAACACAGGCGGCATCCTTAAGAGCGACACGGCGAACCCTGCGGGGGGGGGGTCATTTTGGACAAGCAAAAATATATAAATTAACTTTGTGGATGAGCAGATGGGCAGCCACGCAGACACAGTTCAAGGGCACTGGCTGCGAATTTCCCAGACGGTTAGATTTTATTATTGATATCGGCTGCGAGCTCCAGCGGCGATACAGTTAAACATTAATCAAGTGCCGTAGCAGGGTGGGGCACAGGTAAGGGCCGTGCCCCCGGGGTGCTTGTTAAGAGGCAGGGGAAAGGCCTACTATTTAAATAAGTAATATTTATAAAAAAAACTTTTTTTAAACACGCTTTTATGAAGCTTGCCATAACGTAAGGGACCATGGCCAATTACAGCCAACGTCAGTTGACTGTGGACAATTAGCCCCAAGCCGAAACAAAACATATAAAAAAGAATGTAAACAAAAATATTTTTATGATAGAATATAGTATTGTCATCAGTATAACATCAGTATACCAAGTTTGCAGTCGATACCACATTGGGAAGTGGGTTAAAATTGAGTTACAATATTTGAGGATACGACAACAACGACAACAACAACAGACAGAGTGAGCTAATAAAAAGCGTGTAAAATAGAGCTACGCTCAATCAACAGTTGGGTGCGACGGGGCTCGCTCTGCAGAGGAGTGCAGAGCGAGCACAGAGCGGGCAGACTGAGTAGAGAGAGCAAAAAGCTCGTCCGAGACAACAGTTTCTAAATGTCACCGTCCACTGCCTTTGTTTCGAGTGGGGCGCAAAATAATTCCAAGCGATTGCTTATGGATAGCATTTTAAACTTGCGGGTGAGTGAGTGAGCGGGTCCACTGGCAGAGCGTCCCAACTTGTCGGGGAAATTGAACAGTGCTAATGAACGCATGCACGTGCAGAAACATGCGGACGTATGGTCACACGGACGCACGCGGGGTGCACGTGCTCGTGGCCATGCACACAGAAGTGTGTCAATTGCGCAAGTATGTGCATAAAAGTATTTTTTTAAATATATATACACACTGAATCTATCCATTGCCAATGTTCCCCAAAAACTATACAGATCTGGGCGTTGGTCTGGGCAAGCTGTAAGCTGTGCGGGGAGTTTTGCTGCCAACAGTTCAGGAGCTCTGTCGGCTGTTTCAAGATTGGTGATGGACCGGCAGAAATAACCCAGCGGCTCCCTTAAAGAAACCAACATCACTACACAAACGCCTTCATCAAGCCCAAAGGCCCAATCGTTGCTCGGTCTATGCGAGAAACCTGGGTCTGTGAGCTTTAGCATGGCGAGCACTGCTTGCAAAAGGCAGCTAGCAGCACTCAAAAATTTTGGTCGCACAGTTTATAACAACAATAACGATGTTCCGTTTTTTATCTATGTACAGCGGCATCGTTAATGCAAACTTCATTGCTCACAATCGTCAAAGAACCACAGAAAACCAGGAAGGCAGCAGCCAGGTGGTGGGTGAGCCAGTGCTCTCAACAATTGCCTAAGCTCTCCAGTTTTCTTAATATTAAAATGCTTTCAGCCAATTGATGAATGCTTAAACACGTTTGTTTGTTCGGTTTAAATCTGGGGCCGATGATAAAGTGCACTACGCTTTGCAGAGTAGTGCAACATACGCACAATCTATTAAGCACACACGTCAGCAAAGAACCTGCTTATTTCTCAAGATGAAAAACACCATGAATAGTGTTGCCAGAAAACCCAAGATTAAACATTTACAAGATATAGGGAAATGAGGTTTGAGGAAGCAACGGTGTTACAACGCTGATCGCTACAGCATCTTTGTTTTGCAATCCGCATCCGAGGTGGCACGGTAGCGTAGTGGTTAGCACGCTGCACAACAACAGTGGCAGGCCGAGTTCCATTCCCAGTCACGGCTGACATCAGTGGCAAGCGAATATATTAATCAAAACTGGTCTCGGCGTCATGAATTATAGTCATAAGCGAAATGTCCCCGGGAAAGTTGATTGACAGGGGTCTGTACGTGATTGAGTTCTTATTTAATGAACTTCAGTGTGCGCTCCACAGTCCACAGCTCGTTTCAAAAGGGGGCTCCAATCCAGACCATGCTTAGGCTGCTGTGATATTCTTTAGCATCTCATCTCATTCTGCCCATGCACGTACAAATTAATTTGGATATTTTTTTTGCCCCAGTGTCCCCCTTGTGTGCACCTATATGTACTCAATACGTACATAAAGGTCACTTTTAATAAGGTGAAACAGCCAGGACCACGTCATTACGTTGACATACTTCCCGCGCCTGTTTTACCCAATTAAAAACACCACAAGTGTGGCCTTAACCGGATGATGAAGTAGGCCTGAATATCATGGCAGCATTGCTTTCAAGTTTTTCAGAATTAATTACATCCGCAATGTATTTATTCATTTGGTTTCACCTAAACACACAAAGAGAAGATCCCCCAAACAGTCGAATCGTTGGGGGCAGTGTTGTTAGCAACAACTGCAAAGTCTGGTAAGGGACACAAGAGAATGGTGTTGGTAAGCACCATGCCAGGTCCCCTTTGTCTCCCAAATGCCGATGTTTACACACCACAACAAATACTCATTTAAGGCTAAATCGACCTATGGGAGGCAGCGCACGACCCGGTTCCGGTATCGCCTTCTAGTGATGTTTGCTGTGGCTGGGAATTGAAATCGGGCCGCTGGATTGGTAACGCAGTGTGCTAACCAGTACTCCACTGTTACCCGCGCGTCTAAACAAAAATGCGCACAAGTTCCCTTTCGTTGTTTGTGACATCCCCGATAGGGTCCAGTAGGGGCAGGGGTTTAAACTTCCTGGCACAAACACTCTAGATCGGTGACGTGATATCCATCCTGCATGGTGATATCCAGTGTGGTACCAGCTGGTGAAGAATATCTCCACGAATAATCCTAATCGCAGTAACAATAATAATAGTACTACAGTCTGTTCTCCTCTAACGCGTGTTTTCATAACGTGAATTGGATATAACGCGATGAATGTATTAAGGGAACACTATTATAATACGGATGTGAATTGGATATAACGCGATTGAGTGACGGAACTACATCGCGCAAGTAGGAATAAGCGGTCATACGGCTGCCTCGGCGTAGCATTACACAAGGCGGGATGCTGCTGGATGCTTTTAGATGCTACCCACGCTCCTCAGTCTTTGTTCAGCCTGAGTATGCATCTCACGTGTTATCGTGGACTGTGCTTTGCCCTATATTATAGATGTTTTTTTTATTATAATGCGATTTTTTCCTAACACGGTGTTCTTCAGGAACGCAACTAGCGCATTATAGGAAAACAGACTGTACTACAAATTACGACTTTGCACTTTTGTAGTGGTGAGCAGCGGCACGCGTGTGGGAGTCATGCCAAACTCTCACCTGCAGAAGCACGGGGAGTCCGGTCGGTCATCCTCTTGCAGGCTGCAACACGCACGGCAGAGTACGTCAACGTACGTCATAGTTGAATTATGAATTGATAAAGAGTTATAATGAGTTTCTGGGTGCCAGGGATTGGGACAGAGTTGGTTTGTACCTCAATCGAAGTGTCGGTCACCAGTGTATGAGCAATACTTTTACATATGAAATGTTAAACTAACGTTTTGACTATTTTAACAACTGACTTTCCAAATTAAACTCAGTGGTGCCAGTGCTATGGAGACAACATACGGTAAATTTTAATGAATTGCGTTCACCGCATTGGCAATAGCGTTGTAAAATATTTACTCTGTGATGCAAAACTGCAGCGCGAACGCGGCACTCTCTCTGGCGTGCCACCGCTAGGCGAGAGGATTACGCGGGCGGTGCCACGCGGGCGGTGCCACGCGGGCGGTGCCACGCGGGCGGTGCCACGCGGGCGGTGCCACGCGGGCGGTGCCACGCAGGCGGTGCCACGCGGGCGGTGCCACGCGGGCGGTGCCACGCGGGCGGTGCCACGCGGGCGCACCGACTGCCGCTCTACGGTGCGCCCACCTGCTGAAGGGCTCCGTGTCGCTGTGCGATGAATCCATGTCCTCTCCATTTGCCGCCGTGCGTGATGGCGCCATGCTACGCCCGCTCTCCTTCCCGACGGTTCGGGCACAGTGTGGCTCCGTTGCGCCGAGCCTCACCGCCTCCTCCTTCTCCTCCTCCTCCAGTGCCGCGCCCTCCGAGTCGTGATGACCGTGGGGCTCGAACGCAGGCGGCGGGGGCCAGCGGCGGTCCGTGGGGCAGGCGCGCGGCGATAATAGCGGCGGCGGTGACGATGACGACGCTGGCGGCGGCGGGGACATGGGGGGGTCCCGGCGAGCGGAGCTGGGACACGGAGCTCCGTCCGGACTCTCAGGCCGTGCCTCGGAGCTCGACGAGGAGGCCTCCTCCGCTACGCGGATCGCGCGGTTCCTCTGCGCGTACACGTGCGTGCGTGCACATGGACACACGGACACACGCGACGGGGAGACCAACGGCGGTGAAATGCGGGGAGAGTAAAAACTGCGCGGGCGTAATCCGTGCATCGCTTGCACGGGGGAGGCTCGGTGAGCTCTTAATGCTGCACTGAAGCCCCCGGCTGGTGCTGCTTAGATTCTCGTTTCTAATCCAGCCAGGCAAGTGAGATGATATCGGATTCTCCGGGGAAGACAGTTTGACGGTGCCAACCTGGCAAAGTAATGGCCACATGCAGGGAAGAAAGAGAAACCTTCGAGCATGTATTATATTTGGTGTTTTCACATTCTGCTCGCTTGACTCTTTACGCACGATGACGCATTGCCATTCGATGTTGGGTAAGGAAGTTCATATTAAAGTGGCGTAGTTGAATGGCAACATCTTTGAGAGGTATTTTCTATTGAGACGTGAAGTTCTCCCTACTCTGGGAGCTCTGAAAGGATACTATCGGTGTGTTTGTACACATTCAAAATAAGTCAAATTACGCTGCGAGATGAATGTTAAGACTTTCCTTCTCAAAGACTAAAATTCCCAAGGACACAGTGAAAAGTATATGCCTTATACAATAATGTTACTTATTTATTCGGCAGGCCGATTCTCACGATGATTTTCAGAAGGATCCTGCATGGGGATGTTTGGCCAATTCAATTCAAAGGTGTTTGGCCTCATGTTGGAGGAGGCCGGAGTACACAGAGAAAAACCCACACCACACACAGGGGAGGATTACACTCCAAGTTCCACAAAGATGCATTAAATAACCCACTTGCCATGTTAACACCTCTTGGCCATCACGCAGTGCAGAGGCTTCTGGGAGTTTCATAAATCTCGTGTGCATTCGTGAGCGGTAACGCGCGTACGGTGGTGATATGTTAACTACCTCCCCTGATATACAGGAGGTCGTGGGTTCGATCCTGACCCTGACGCTTCTATATATATGGAGTTTGCATCTTCTCCCCGTGGTTGCGTAGACTTTTCTCCGGGTCATCTGGTTTTTCCCTCCACATTTAGAATCAACTTGCATATCATAGATTTGGCTGCTATACGTTTCCATGTGATAAGCCACTTCATTGAGCTATCATTTGTTGCCAGGTTGCTTCTGAAAACGAGCTATAAAGCTCGGTGGGCCTCACCTCGTGAAATAAAAATAGCAATAGTAGTTTTCATCTTCTTTGGTTCTTTCGGTAAAGTCACGTAGAATGAGAATAAAATAATAAATTGATAAAATAAAATAACACAATAATATTCTCACAACGTTTCGGCCACAACACAAGTCGTGAGAATATTGTGTCATTTTATTTTATCAATTTATTATTTTATTCTCATTCTACGTGACTTTACCGAAAGAACCAAAGAAGATGAATCCTTGCAGTCACGAAAGCTTTAAATCGAAAAATAGTAGTTTTAGTACAGTGACACCCGCATCCCCCGCGCGGCTTAGCTAACGAGGCCCAGCTAACGAGGCTCGCGCCATACTCGAGGCGCATCGCCCCGAGTGACCGTCAGCGCAGGCGGAGGGAGCAGGAGCTCACGCTCTAAGCCTCTTACGCAAAAAGGAAAAGCAGGGGGGGGTGGTGGCTCTGACCGCCACCGCCGCCACCACACGCTGTCCCTTCGCGACGAGCCCCACGTGCCCCCCCCAAGGACGCACCTTCTTCTTGCGAGTGGCGGCCACCACGGTGGCATAGCTCGCCTCTCCATTTAGCCGGCCGGCCGGCGGCGGGTTCTGCGTTCCGTCGTTTGCTGCTTCCTCAGCGCTGGTTGAAGCGGCCGCCTCCTGCAGCTCCTGCGATGGCAGCAGCAGGACAAACGCGCCCACTGTTAAGCATGGTGCGGAGCAGATGTCCAATATAGAATCGTCTCTGAATACAAAAACTAGATTTTTGGTACTTCCGATTAATTCCATCGCTACCTTTCCCGGAGCGTGTCGGTGACCACCATACGAACAAACACGCCTCACAGCAACAGAGTGGAATAAAAAATAGGTTATTTCCCCTTTTTTCTGTCAACAAAACTGAAACCTTTTAACGAGAAATCATGTCTGCATTAACCACAATACTTGTGGTCAAAATGCAAAAAAAATCATCCTCTGATAATATATGCATTGTCCTTGAAACTGATTGGTCTACACCAGAGACAGCTTTCTTTTGAGCCTAGTCTCAAACGGTGTTCGACCAGAGGACACCAACAGGCGTACTTTCAGTTTAAAAGACAATGCATATATTATCAGAGTATGACTTTTTTTTTTTGCATTCTGACCACAAGTATTGTGGTTAATGCAGACATGATTCCTCGTAAAAGGCATCAGTTTTGTTGCCAGAAAAAAGGTGGAAAACCTATTCTTATATTTTGTTACTGGCAAAGGAGGCCTCATGATGAAAAAGAGTTGAATGTTTGATCGTGAGAGGCCACAGCAGCTGTTTAAATTAATAATTTTATCTGGCCAGATGACAGTGGCAGAAGGGCACAGCTCACAATGAGAAGGTTGCATGTTCAAATCCTGGTTGTAGAGGTCCGCAAATGAGAACCACTGTGTGGGAGGCCAACATTCGTTATCCGATACATAAGCTCACCCCCGTCATATGAATATGGAAATTCCAATACTTTTTTTACATGAGCCGGAGTAAAAATACATATTTGTTTGTACATTATCTTAACCATCTTGCTCTGACAACTAAATAACCCGAGAGAGAGTATTTTTGACTGTTGATTTCATCTAAGGGTTACCGCTCAGAACGGGAGAGCGAAACGAGAGCACGACACTCAGCCAAACTCTGTACAAACATCCACGTGTATGTGATTAACACATTAATAATGTGGTATGTTTATAATTTCAACTTGTAACGCGTTACACAGTATTCTTTTGCTCTCGCGTAGCGAGAGAACAACTCAGAGGCACGAGGAGGAACCACAGACGAGCGGGAATTCAGCAGCCACGCAATGAGCCGGCATTAACATTTTCGTAAGCTCTACGGTCCTCTTTATATCAAGATGTTATCAGCCAATTAATGAGTGTTACATGTGGGAGGAAACCAGACAACCCTGAGAAAACCTGTGTGTGTGAGGGGGAAAGACTATCCCCATACAGATGGAACACGTGAAGTCTACGTTATTGCTGGACTGCTTTCTGTTGGCGAGCCAGGGTATGATGGCACCTCGATGCCTGCAGGGAGTTTCACAACATTTGTGCGATCCACAAACCCACGCCTTCACAGTGCTGGAATAGAGGCCATGTGCATAACCACTGCCAGATGAAGCCAAAGATGAATGGCAACATGAAATACTGAATGATCGTAATACAATAATAGGTTTTTCCCTTTTTTCTGGCAACAAAACTGACACCTTTTTGCAAAGAATCATGTTAACATTAACCACAATACTTGCAGTCAAATGCAAACAAAAAACAATACTCTGATAATTTATGCATTGTCCTTGAAACTAATTGGTCCACACCAGAGACAGCTTTTCTTAGAGCCTAATCTCAAATGGTGTTCAACCAGATGACGCCAAAAGGTGTTAAGATGTTAAAACACCAAACTGAAACCTTTTACAAGGAATCATGTCTGCATTAACCACAATACTTGCGGTCAGAATGCAAACGTACGCCTTTTGGCGTCCTCTAGTCTAACACCGTTTGAGACGAGGCTCAAAAGAAAGCTGTCTCTGGTGTGGACCAATCAGTTTCAAAGACAATGCATATATTATTAGAGTATGTTTTTTTGTTGCATTCTGACCACAAGCATTGTGGTTAATGCAGACATGATTCCTGGTAAAAAGGTTTCAGTTTGGTGTTTTAACATCTTAACACCTATTCATATTCTTAGTTTTTTCGGTAAAGTCACGTTAAAGAGAAACAACAAAATAACAAAATATATATAAAACAATAAAAAATTCTCACGACGTTTCGACCATAACTCAAACGGTCATCATCAGGTGTGTGATGACCGTTTGAGTTATGGTCGAAACCGTCGTGAGAATTTTTTATTGTTTTATATATATTTTGTTATTTTGTTGTTTCTCTTTAACGTGACTTTACCGAAAAAACTAAGAATATGAATTACTGCAGTCACGAAAGCTTTAAATCAAAATCTTAACACCTGTTTTGTTGTAAAGCCTTAACAGACTGTTTGGGCAAGCGCTGTTTGCGAGCACCTATGAAGGCCATCATGGCACACGAGGGGGTGGATGGCTAAAAGTACGCCGGGCTGACTTTGACATCCCCATGGCGATGTTTACACACCACACCAGGTACTCATGTGAGGCCGAGTCGACCTAGGGGAAGCCCATGACCGGTTGAGATAATCGTCATTGGTGTTGTCCGTGAGTGGGAATAAAACTCGGGTCGCCAGGTTTCTTAGCGAGTGCGCCAACCGCTGCACTACCACTCCCCACAGCATCTTTAACCGACACACACTCTTACCTGCACGAGGATGATGTGTGCGTGCCGAGGACTGTCTTCCTGGAAGATGGAGAGGAAGTCGGTGATGAACCTCGCCGTAACTCGGTTCACCACCTGCTGCTCCGCAATGCCCTCCATTCCAGGAGAGACACTGTGAAGTGCAGAGACACAGAGACACAGGGAGCGCACTAAAAAAAGGGAAAAGCAAATTAATTGAAAAACAAAGACAAAAAGCCTCTGTGCAGCCTACACAATCTGTTGGGGCAGGTGTTGTTACCGAGTAGCAGCACCTATGAAGGTTGGTATGGCACACGAGGGTGTGGTTTGGCCAGCTCCATGCAACCAGCTTTCCACACAAAAACAAAGATCCCCCGTATAGCCTGAACAGACTGTTAGGGCAAGTGCTGTTAGCGAGTAGCACCACTGAAGATCGGCACGACACACGAGGGGATGGGGAGGGGCCAGCACCACGCCCGGCCACCTTTGTCTCCCCAGTGGCGATGTTTCCACACCGCACCAGGTACTCATTTGAGGCTAAGCTGACCTAGCAGAGGCCCAGGACCAGTTCAGATAATTGTCACTGGTGTTGGCCATAAACGGAAATCGAACTCGGGTCGCCATGTTCGTAGCGCAGCACGCTAACCGCTACAAGACTGCTCCCCGTGCACACACACACACAGACGCACTCCACCGACCGTGCACAACGACACTCGTGCACGCATAGACACTGTGGAAAAAAACGGCGCTCACCGGAAAAAGTTGGGGCCGAAAACGGTGCCAAGGTTTTGCGGCGACATGAGGTTGACCTCCTGGTGCTGGGCCACGCGCACCAGGAAGGAGCACAAGTAGCGCAACAGCGCGTGGTTCTCGCCTGGCAGCTGAGCCAGCAGCAGCCGCAGCGACTCAGCGAGCCGCATTTCATCCCCGGCGCTGTCTGCAGGGCGCAAGTGGCACGCAGCGGTGAGAGAGGGAGGGTGCTGTGCATTCAAATGCAATGGGATACGATGGCACGGAAGAAGGGTGCTGGAGACATGGACCTGACCATTGGGCAGAAAACTTAAGAAAGCAGCACATTGAGGTGACCCCGTGGCTCAGAGAGGTCACAGCGCTAAACCGGAACTGCCGTGACCCTGGGTTCCAATGCAGGCGGTTGCACAGGATTAAACCGGAGTCTCCAGCGGAGCGGAGTTCACAGTCTCAGTCCGACCACCAATGACCACGCACAAAAAAACCCGTTACACGTTAAACTGGTTCTTTACCAGCTCCGAGAATTAAAAATATCAGATGGACTGTCATGCAATAAACATTACTCTCGTAGAGCAGAGCGGGTGGGAAAGTGCCACCCTCTACTGTCTGGACCACCTGAAGGGATCTCAAGAGGTAGCTCTGAAATATCCGCTTCTATGTGCCACCCACTGACACGAACGGTCGCACTGCTCTGCGGGAGCTGCAACTTAATTCTTAGTCTCGCAATGCGATGCCGATAGCAACAATCGGGATAAATTTGGGGGAATATGACAACAAAGTGAGAAGAAGCACAGTGTTACTGCGGGGATGGGTGTGGTCTCATCGTGTACAATAAATATGAAAAATCCTCTGTACAGCCATTAACAGACTGTTGGTGCAAGTGCTGTTAGCGAGCACCTATGAAAGCCAACACAGCACACGAAGGAGTTGCTTGGCTTACACCATGCCTGGCCGCCTTTGTCTCCCGAGTGCCGATGTTTATACAGTGCACCAGGTACTCATTTGAGGCCGAGTCTTCTACTGGGAGGCTCAGGACCAGTTCAGAAATTTATCACTGATTTTAGTCACGAGCAGGAATCAAACTCGGATCGCCCGGTTTCTAGCACAGTGCGCTAACCACTGCACCACCGTTCCCCACCCCAAGTATGAGCTCACGCACACACACACACGCGCACACGCGCGCACGCGCACACACACCGACCTCGGTGTGCCTGTAGGAAGCTGGGCAGCAGGCTGGCCGGCACAACGCCATCAGGCAGCTCCCTGAGGAACAGCTTGAGCAGCCCGGCTACGGACGACACGTCCGCCTGGCCCCGCCACGCCTCGGGCACCTCCACCGCATCACCGCCTTCGTCGCCGTCGGCGCCGGTGGCACCGCCATCCCCGTCGCTCGTCACGTCCGCCTCCCAGGCCTGCCTGAGCCGCTCCACGGCACGCACGCTGCCACTCACCCGGAAGAGGCCCTCCGACTCCAGGCCTGTGTGGACAGCGACACAGTAGTGTCATTAGCACCGACGGCAGCAGCAGCATCGGCAAGATGATCTGCAGCAGTGGTAGCATCAGTAGCAACGCATTAGCAGCAAAAATATCAGCAGTCATATCATCAGCGGCAGTAGCTTCAACCGTAGCAGCATCCTCACCACTAGCAGCAGCAGCGTCATGAGCAGCATGACTTTAGTAATGTTCATATAAAATGTATTTAAAAAGTGAACTTTTATACAATTTTTATTTCATCAGGTAAGGCCCACTGAGCTATATAGCTCTTTGTTAGAAGCGACCTGGATACAAATGATAGCTCAACGAAGTGGCTTATTATATGGAAATTTATAGCAACAAATATTCTAAAAATATGTTCCTAAATGTGGAGGGGAAAACCAGAGGACCTGGAGAAAAAAACCACACGACCACGGGGAAAACATGCAATCTCCAAATGTACAGGTGTCAGGGTTGGGATCGACACCACAATCTCCTGTATACCAGGCGGGAGTAGTTAACATCTTGCCACGGTGGCGCCCAAGCAAGTGGACAGTGTCATCATTATAATTCACAGATCCTAGTCAACCCACAGCTGGACAGAAGAATTCCATTGCCACGTTGGTCAAGAGGGTTGTTTGCCCATACCTGGTTAATGTGAGTTGGTGAAGTGGCGGGGAGCCAGAACATCTCAAATATCACCCGCCACTCGTGTTATCCGTGACCAAAAATCAAACTCGGGGTTGCCAGGTTCACGGCTCCGCATGCTCCGCATCCTATGCCACTGCTATGCCAAGTAATAGCAACAGTTCCGATACTCGACATTTGTATCAGCAGGACCAACAGGGGCAGCAGTCGTAGTCAATAGTGCAGTAGTAGCTGTCAATAGATGGCTTATATTACGGTCCAACCAGCCACTGAATACAGGGGCTGCAATGAAAACAAAACTGCGCTGGAGTCACAAACGAAGCGCTTATTAAAGCGCGTGGCGGGCGATGTTACATAAACGTGAGGACGTTAGGCCTCACGGAGTGCAGAGCCTCCCGTGGTGAGTGGAATTTTCCAAAAAATTGACAGTGCCCTCCATTTTCATTATATATAAAAAAAATGGTTTACAAAACAATGTTAAATTTACACATCACAAGGGAAAGTGCCTGGCTGTTTTCGGTTCGTGCAACAACATTTACTAAATGGCACTGATTTCCCTCGCGACAAACTTTTCATTAAAATGTCCAGAAATCTTCACTGGAGAAACAAATCACGGCTCTGCGAAACCAGCCATGTACAGTTTTCAAATCCGTGGAAACATGGGTTGCCCCGCAACGGAAGCGCGGTTTGGCGGAAGCGGTTTAGCAGACACCGACCTTTTGTCGACAGTTAATTTGAATTTCCTGGTCCAGGCCCAGGTAATTTTCCACAAATTAGAGGTCGAGCTGGTGAGGTTATTTTCGTTTTTCATAATAAAGGTTTTTTTTGGGTTAGATCGCGAAAATATAAATGTGTCGTTAACGCACCACCACTCGACACCCAATTAGTAAGGTTTGTCACGTAAACAAAACGTGCTAGTTAGTTCCTACTTCAGCACACCGGTGTGTTGAAGAGTAAACCCACAACATTTACAATTTTGAGTACAAAGTTTGACTGGTGATTATAACCAGCTTCATCAGGCGATTTGCCAGAATTGCTAATAAGTCTTCCTGTCTACCGGTCTTAAACAGTTCAGTTTCTTTAATTTCCTCAAATCTGACAACTCCCATTTACCCCGTCACGCCACGGGCTGTTCTGCATCCGGGTAACGTGTGGCCAGGCAGAGAGAGGGGTGCGATCACGCGCTGGCAATCCCACGAAGGCCGTAGAGTGGCCAATTTCGCACGACCGCATTCGCTCTTAAACTCGGAGTTCCCTGCAGTCGCTCCCAGCACTGTGTTAGACCCTATATTTACACTCTCATCAAAACGTCAAGTATCCCCCAAACCTTGCAGTTGTCTTTAAAAAAAAAGCTCCTATTGTGTAGAAAACGAACCCAAGCTGTGTCTCAGGGCGGCCTAATACAAGTTTGGAAGCTTTGCCAATGAGACAAGAAACTTTAAAGTGCCTTGAAGGCATGCCACGTTCAGAACTCAAGAGAACAAGGGAGACCCGGGCCAACGAAATGACGATACGGCACGATGGTGACATATTAAACGGCCCTTGAGTGCTATTATCACGGAGCTCCTGACAGTCAATAAGAATAAAAAATCGAATTTACACTTCTAAAGCACCAGTCACCCGGTTGCGGTCACAAGGTACTGTATAGAGCTCAAAACACAAATAAAATGTATAAAGATAAATAAACCCAGTAAAAACCTAATCAGAGCACACCTAGTGATAATACACTCCACCAAGCACAACAAACACCCCACAGTTAAAACGTATAAAGTGAAGAGACGATGAGAACAGGCGAGCCTTAAAATGAGACTTGAATAGGAGGCCGAGAGGCTCTGCACGGACTGCGTATATATCTCGTGGAAGTGAATTCCACGGCCTAGGGGCCGCACGGGAAGAGGCCCGGGGTGCCCGCCGTGCAGAAGGGATCCACCTCGGCACGCACAGCAGGTCCCTTTATTTATTCACATCGGACCTCTCATCAAACCCAAAGAACAGCACATGGGACACAAAACAAGCATACTCAACTATGATCCATAATACATTTTTGGGTCGGATAACGTAAGTAAAATGTATGTAATTGCACCCTCCTCCAGCCGACACAGCTGATCAATAAAGTTGTCATTTGAACAAACGTGCCAGTTTACTACTGCCAACTGTGTTCCCTCTATATAATTTCACAGCCCATGGGACGGCAAGGAGACAGCTCAGAACCACTGTGGGTGGCAAGCGGTGTGCAGCACTGGTGATCGAGCGAGTGGGATGCGGCACCGGTGGTCGGGTGAGTGGGGTGCAGCCCTGGTGGTCGGGTGAGTGGGGTGCAGCCCTGGTGGTCGTGTGAGTGGGGTGCAGCACCAGTGACCGGACGAGCGGTTCAATTACCGTGTTCCTCCAGGAACTGCACCATGGTCTCCACCACGAGTGGCACGGTGCGGCCGGGCGGCACGCCAGCCAGCAGCGTCGCCAGCTCCACGCCGAACGTGCGCCCCCCCGCAGCCGCTCCGGGCTCCGGGGCCGTGGCGCCGGGCTCCAGGAGGCCGCCGTGGCCATACCCAAATGCCGGCGGCGACAGCGGCGGTGGAGAGAACATGTGCTTCACTTCCTCATGGACCCGTCCCCCGGACTTGCCCTGCTGAAACACACGGACACGGACGCACGCAGATCCCCCCTGGTGTAGGCCTTACAGAGGTGTGCGCTAACCACTGCGCCGCCGATCCCAAAACTCTCGGAAAGACAAAGGTTCCCCTCGCAGCCTTATTGTAGTTTGCTAACCGTGGCGCCACCACTTCCCCACAACAACAAACAGTTGCCATTCGCCACTAATTGGTGGTGAATGTCACGAAGTTGGTGCCAAGCGAGGTGCACTTTGAGGCCATGTGACGTATAAAAGGCTCGCTGGTAGGAAGTCACGGGACAGACCCAGGTGCTGTGGGTTGACTTCGGATGACTGGCAGATGCACCACCTGTGCTCCCCACTGTGCCAATTTTCTGCATTTTAGTTCACAGAAAAGCAAACATCCCCCATGCAGCCTTACAGAGTACACTGTGCTAACAATGGTGACACTGCTCCCCACACACCCACAGAAACAAATATCTCGCCATGTAGTCTTTAACAGACTGCTGAGGCAAGTGTTGTTAGAGAGTACCAATTAAAATCATAAAGGCTTACGAGGGGGTGCTGTGGCCATCATATGATTCGCGATTGATGTTAACTGTGGCCAAAAAACAAAGTGAGGTCACCGGGTTCGTAGCGCAGCTCTCTAACCCCTTCGCTACTGTTCCCTACATGCAAATACAAAGATCCCCCGTATAGCCTTAACAAACTGTTGGGTCATGTGCTCTTAGCAAGCACCTCTGAAGGCCGACAAAGGCACACAAGGGGATGGGTGGCCAGAACCACACCCGGCCGCATTTATCTAGTGATGTTTACACACTGCACCAGGTACTCATTTGAGGCTGAGTCGACCTTGGGAAGGCCCAGGACTGGTTCAGATAATCGTCACTGGTGTTGACCGTGAGTGGGAATCGAACTCGGGCTGTCGGGTTTATAGCGCAGCGTGCTAACCGCTACACTACCATTCCCCACATGCACACAAATACACAGGTAAAGACGCATACATGCACAGGAAAGGAGGTATCCGTTAATGAACCATGTCCTATTGTCGCAAGTGCTGTTCGCGAGCACCTTTGAAGGAAGGCTGGATCGGTACAGCATTGAAGGGATGGTGTTGTGGCCATAGCCATGCATGTGTGGCCGCAGCATGAACGCGACAGGAATACACTTGATAGGCCAGCCCTCCCCTTTGTGAGGGACCCCTGTTCTCAATTGCCTATCACTCACTTGAAAGTCAAGGTTATTTACCTATCTATAGCTTTACATTACCATTGGGAAGGACACTGGATCTCCTGATCTTTTTGAGATGCATCAAGAAACATCCCCATCCTGTCTACTCATCCTTCACAGCCCCTGCATCTCACAAACTGCGATGGTGCCTATCCTGTCTACTCACCATTCACAGTTCATGTGGGTCACAAACTGAGTCGGGCCTATATCCAGCCCTACTAATCCTTCACAGAGTCTTACAAACTGAGACGGGGCTTAGGGCCAACAAATTTACGTTTTTGAAGAAGTTGTTGTATTAATGCCTTGCTGTGTGGTGATGTTGTTTGAGGGCTTGTAAGCTGAATTGTTGGTGCCATGAACGGCATCTACTAAACTGTGATAATTGCTATGTAATTATGTTCTGGTTTTGAGTTGAGTGATGATGCACGCAAATATATATGGGAGAAGTGGCACTTGGTGTGGCGTCAAATCTCCTCGCATACATTGCATTGACGTGGCCCAGCGGAAGTGCGTTGGCCCAATATCGCAGAAGCTTGTGGTTGAAATGCAGCAGAGTGCCCTGGTTAATACTGCGATGATATTAATAGTAAAATACGACTACGCACCATCTGCTTCCCCCATGATTTACGTTAAAGATGCCTTCTCGTAATTTGAAGGAGAGTAGGCCATTGCGTGTCAGCGTTGCGTTCCAAATTAGGTAACAATTGAAAGAATAACTCGCAAATTGGGAAACAGCCACGCGCAATTGTCATCCCTTACTGCATTAAACTTGGCAGGATCCTCTTGAAAAAAAAGTAGAGACGCTCAGTCGGGCTTTCCTGGTTTAGAATGCGTCATAAATAATTAGTTACTAAGTGTGCCTAAACGTAATATTTGCAGGTACACATGCTGGAGGCAAACGGCGCTCCGTCACCCACCTAGACCAGGAGGTCTGTTTGAACAAACAGGACAAGACAGACAGCACCACACAAGTGCAGCAGTGAGTCATCGATTGCGGAATCTGTTTACTCAGAGCAGAGATGGCTGAGTGGTCAAGTCGGTTGGGGGGGGGGGCTCGTCTTGGGGTTCAAGGTTCAGCTTACAGCTCTCCTGGGTAACCAGCTGCAGGCTGGTTACCCAGGAGAGCTGTAACCATTACACTGCCACTCCCCACCATCTCATTCCAGTTTCATCTCACTCCCCCCTTCTCATCTCATTATGCCCACCAACACGCTCTACCCTTCTCCTCCTATCTCATTCTATTTCCATCCATATATCTGATTAGCACGGTTGGCTACATACGGTGCGAAAAAAGTTCAACATACATACACTCTCCTACCTCTTCTCACATCACTCGTCTCTCCATGCACTCTCCACTCCAGAAACCGAGGCTTTCTCAACTGAAGCACCCAGTCAACCTTCGCTCAGTGGGAAGTCACCCTTTCCCCTCTGCTGCCCCCATAGTCATAGGTGCTGTCGACACCCTGCGCCTGTTCAAGTCATAAACTTCCGTGTTCCCTCTGCCTCATAACCAACCGCCTCCCTCTACAAAATATATATGCCCATTGTTTCTGCACTGCGTCTTGAAACAAGGTCACCAAATGAACCACAATACCTTGCCGATCTCGTCAAGGAGCGTAAACCATCTCGCGAACTCCGGTCATCCTCGAAGAGGCTTTTGGCTAGCCATCGAACAAAGACACTGCATCGCATGCTTGCAGATGCGCTTCTGCGGACGTCTGGAATTCTCTTCCTCCCGATATTAGGAAGCCACTCGAGCTATGCATTTAAAATCTAGATTGAAAACTAATTTATTTAGAACAGAATTTTGCATTTCGTTTGTCGTCCTTCCCGCACACCTCCGATTAACAGGTTGACTACGCACAACCCCATTGTGCTCCGTTCTATCGTGTGTGCTAGTCTTCAGGGCTTTCGTTCTCTTGGCTGATCTTGAACTGAACTCCACCTCTCCACTTCCGCACACACCACCCCATGGCGCCCACCAAACTCAACCAATGGGTTCGATTTCGCAGAGCTGCGCGTTACTGGGTCGTGACCTCTGCTGTTGTCTACGCCTGATGAAAAAAACAATCCACTCACAGGGAGGGGTACTGAGCGGTGGTGTTTTGAAACGTACACAAGCCACGTTAACGGGAGTAGGGACGTCGTTAGGACCGGAGTAGAGAAACAGCACCAAAAAGGTGTAATGAGCGGCGGTGTTTTCTTAAGAAAACGCCGTTGTTTCCATGAGGATCAAAATCAGCCCATTTCGAGGTTGCAATTTATTTATATTGTTTTAATATTATTTAAAAAAATCAATATTATAATTATTTACATTATAAAACAAAACAAGATAAAACTTGTAAAAAGAACACCACTGAAATCAGGCAATATGCCACGCCAATCGTGTAATACACAACGCAATGTTACAATTGCGACTGTACTGTGCGGTGCTAAAGTGGGACTTCCGGGCGCGTGCGACGTTTCTACGCAGCGTGGAGACGCAACCGATGACAAGGCAGCGTCGCCACGCACGCCATTACATTTTGAGCCCCCGTGAGTAAGATCTCATTTTTTCCGTCCAAGGTTTTAATCAATTTTTCAGCGGGCCCTCAACTAACTGCCCCGTTGTGTGCGGCGCACGGTGTACTAAACAGGTGTACTATACACTGTGTACGCTACAGCTGCTCGCGTTGTATCATGGACAACGCCGTCTCCCATCCAGAAACCGTAAGAGCCACGCACGGCGAATGGCACCGGGAACTTGGAGGAGGCCCACGCGGGATCCGTGTGCCCACACCTAGCAACGCGACGTCACGAGCCGTGACGCTCTCCGTAAAAAAACACGCGCTGCCTTCGAGCCCAGCAGCATCACAGCACGAGTATCGAGCCTCTGTGCTTATTCGGTTCTTTACCTCGAGCCAATTCTTTTTCTGGACAGTGAGGATTTTTTTTTTGTGGAAGACAGATTTATTTGTTCTTCCATTTTGGATAAGGGCGTATTTATAAATCTCTCACACGTGTATACAAGCAGCTGACGTTTCAGCCCAAGGGTCAGAAAGTTTTTGCTTTTGAAGTAAAAAGGTTTGTCCGCTAGAATACAACTGGAGTGTTCTAATGACGTGCCCCCGGGGTCACCATCACTGTTATCACGCAGGAATGAGCGGCTACTTATTCGAGCGGATGTAAAGAGTCAGTGACTGTAGTGCATAGTTCGTAAGTTAAAGAAATGCCTGCAACGATTAACTGAATTAATTAACGAGTGTACAGATGTTTGACGAGGTCACGAGAGAGTTTTTTTTTTTGTATAGCTGTGAGACATGGCCTTTGGGCATAAACTGCAGTGAATCAACAGTTCCCATGAGGAAGACAATGAACATCATATGGGAACTACAAACGTACAAAACAAAATATAGTCAAGCAAACACATGACACTGCTAACACCGACAACTAAAAACTAAAAAAAAGTTTTTTTAAATTTAACCAGGTAAGGCCCACTGAGTTATATAGCTCCTATTCAGAAGCAACCTGGCTACAAATGATTGGTCAACAAAGTGGTTAATTATGTAGGAATTTATAGCAGCCAAATACTTTAAACGCATGTTGATTCGAAATGTGGAGGGGAAAAACAGGGGACCCGGAGAAAAATGTACACGACCACGGAGAGAGAGACATACAAACTCAAATATACAGGTGTCACAGGGTCGGGATCGAACACATAACATCCTGTAAACCAGACGAGGTAGTTAACATCTCGCCACCTGGCCACAGGAGTATTGTAGGAAGAGGACAGAGGTCAGCAACCTGCGATTCTGGATCCGCACGTGGCTCTTTAAGCACCGCTTCGTGACAGTTATTTATTGAGACCACACGTGTGCATTACCACTCGGCAGCCCATCAATGCCTGCAGTGTTTATTGTTGCAAACCCCCGACAGGTTTTGATTACGGTCAGTGGCATGAGCGAAATTTTTCAAAATGTAATTGCATTCAATTCAAATTTATCTGTAATCCTGTAAGCAGCTGTGGTCAAGGGTAAAAAGCGCGAACGCGGCAATCCGTGGTGTGGGTTTGATGAACTCGCGAGTTCACAGTTCGGATACGGTGACATTAAGTAATCAAGAGTATGCGTAGCAATTGTGGAGGAGATGATGAAAAATTGTTGTGTTGGTACGGCACGGCGCATCACAACCGTGTGAACGTTTGACATAGTTCGACGGGTGGGCAACGCGGCTCGAATCGCAGCCAACAACATTAACCCCAGACTGACACCGTAAGCGATATATTCTCTTGGCTGAAAAAAAAACGAGAAAGCTTTTCTTAACAAACAGGAACTCAAACAAAGAAATCGGACCGTAGAGTACTGGGCAGGAGCGTAATATCTCTCGGCAGACCCTGACAATTAGTCTCACCACGGAGAAGAAGTCGAATGAAGGAAACCGCATTAAGATTAACATCGTCATGTGCGGGGTGATTGCAAAGTCCCTACCCTGATTTTAAAGTAATGGGTCCTCACGTCAAACAATGTGATGCATTTGAAATCTGTCTTCAAGCGTAGGGTGGTAACTCAGTGCGGTTCTACAACTCGGCTCCCTCCTACCTCTACACTTACAACGTCGTGTCCTTCGATTCCTCAACACTTTCCGAGTCGGTCTTGAACACGCCGCCAAATGTTCCGCGACACTGAGCGCCAAGAGCACCACAGGCCTCTTCACTGAAACGATAAAAGCTAAAAGTATTTTTTTGTATTTTACCAGGTAAGGCCCAATGAGCTGAATAGCTCTTTTTCAGAAGCGACCAAGCTATCACAAATGATAGCTCAATGATGTGGCTTATCACGTGGAAATTTAGAACAGCCAAATACTGTAAATGCATGTTGATTCTACACGTGGAGGGGAAAAACGGAGGACCCAGAGAAAAATCCACGTGACCATGGCGAGACACATGCAAACTCCAAATATACAGGCATCAGTTGGAATTGAACCCACGACCTCCTGCATATCAGGCAAGGCAGTTAACATCTCACAACCGCAGCGCCCCTTGGACTTGGAAGCTCAGCAAACTGTAGACACCAGCCCAGTGTTTTAACAGAGGGCTGATGACAGATTCAATTTAAAGTTACTGGTTTAAGCTCCGCTAACACACACACACGGAGCTTTTTACTGCACCGACATCACCTTGACATTAATTCTGCCCAGCACTGCTACCTGAAAAAACAAAGCAAATGACTAAAATATACAATTCTAGAAATATATATTGACACTTCCATGAATAACTATTGATAATCTACAGGCCTTTGTCAATCCACTGCTGGATGAAGGCTTCCCCATGCTAGTTGAGGGGGGGGGGGTTATGGTCTCCGGATTCACGGTGCAGGGCACTAACTACTGCGAGACCAATCACCCTAGCATTGATGCAACACATGCATGCATTGCATTTGTCTCCAAAACAAGGGGACATTAATAGCAGCGAGAGACTTTCATCGCCCTGGGCGCATCGCTGTGTGTGAGCACTAGCTCCTGCACCTGCAGATAAAAATTGACAAAAGTGACCTCATTGAATGCAACAGCGCCGTCAGGTCACCGAGCAATAACATCGACTGCTTGACGTTAGACTTTTGAAGGATAAAAATTCATCGATATTCAACTCCGAAGACATCACAAAGCCCTCTGCTTTGCCACAGTATCCAGTTTTAAGTAAAATCAGCAGATTTGTATTGTTCCTTCATTCACAATTTGGTTTACACTATCTGACCTCTATTTGTTGAATGGGCAGAGTGCTACATTTTTTTTGTACAACACGTTTCCAGGATACGGCTTTATCCGGACAGAGGCAGCAGGAGTTTCCAAACTTTGCCAACCTACTACCCCCTCACGCACTTTTAATTCTTGGAGCTCACAATGTTAAACATTGGGCAGGCAAAATATTCATAAATTGTGATGGAGGTGAACGCCTGCGATACAAGCATCGAATCGACGCACGGTTTATGACGATGACACCCACATGCTTTGCGGATATGCCTCTGGGCTAAGAGAATGACTGAGGAAAAAATAACAGAACATATGAAACAAACAAGAATCGATCATTAAATTCTTGTTTAAACCGTGACCCCCCAATTCATGACAATTCATCAAATCGCCAAGCGGGTGAATCTCCGCACGACTTACCCTTTGCAATCCACTGCTGGATCAAGGCCTCGTTCCACCATATCAGTCACGAGGGTTTTCTTTTACCATACTTCACCGCACTGGTTAGTGAGGGTTGGAGAAGGGAAGCCCAGGAGCGGTTCAGATACCACTCCCCACCGATGCGAGACGTGAGCCAGGAATCGAACTCATGACGGCGAGTGTGCTAACCACTATACCACCACTCTGCCCAGAGCACAACACATACCTATTTATGATGCGAATGACTTCCCAATGAAATGGACTTACAAACACACATAAGTACAGTATAACCGCATCTCAGGGTGGTGTACACACAGGCAGACACAGCAGGCCTAGGGCTAAGGTGGTAATTAGATATCAGGATTTTAACACTAATGTAAGCAGAGGGGATTTCATCGGATCTGTTGTACAAATCCTTTTCTCAAGTCTCTAAAGCTGGCAGATGGCCGCGTGTCTCCGTTCAGTTTAGGCCCCATGTGCCGCCTGAACACAGGTATGCCGGGATGGCACCGTCCGTTGCCAGGAGCGGCCTTCTGGTTTGTCAGAGAGCCCCACGCAACCGTGACCATCGAATCACCTCTCCATTACTCAAGCCGCAGACATAGCGAGCGTACGCTTCAAAGGGAATAAAAGCGGAGGCACTTTTACAAACGAAGATGCTTATTTCAACTTGTTTATGTTATGCCTCTTTTGCGCATGTGAAAATGTCTTGCATAAAAAAAATTATATTCCCCCGAGAAAAGCTATATTCGGTGAATTGAGTACATTTTTCAATTGCCTATTCATCCACTCGGGCCTTTGTTTTCCCTCAGAAGGGTTGATAAATGTGTGCCCGTGAGCACAGAAAAGACTTCAAAGTTAATCACACCTGTGGAGGTATACGTTACATTTACAAACGATTGCAGTTTCACAAAGTTCCTGAAAATGTATTTTGGGTAGTTGCAAAGAACCGCGTCATAAAAAGTTCTCTCCCTCTTCGCGTCTGCTTACAGGGACATTATTCACTTGGACTTCTGTTCTTCTTTTCACGAAGCAGCGTTGGTTGATGCCGTGGGTGGCGGCGGCGTTTCCAGCACCTGCGTTTACACAGCCCTGCCAACGCGTTCCCTTAAGGGTTGTGCTGTTTGGAATGTGTTGCCAGCCCAGTGCCACCCGTGCCACCAGGACAGTGACCCCAAATTCCAGTCTCAGCCCTGGGGAGGGACCTCTTCTCGCCCGGACAAACCCTAGGGCGAGCGAGCAACACAGCATGTGCCGGCTGAATCTCAGCCGCGGCCTGGCCGTTCAGAGAAGCGACACATGGCGCTCGCTGCTGGGATGAAACGAACGAAAGTGGAAAGGGTGGCTGGGTGTGGCGCTGGCATTCCAGCCCGCTCGCCCGTAGCCGTGCCAAGACGAAAATGCCCACCAGAGGAACTCTGCCGCTAACGTCTGCACCGCTGCGCCGCAAGGGCAGAGCAGTGAATGGGCAAATAAAATAAACTTTAAGCACACGACGCGAACGTGAAGAGGTATGAGGAATGCGCTTCTACTCACACAAAGGCGCATGGCTGCTCCTACACCCATGGCGGAGCTGAGGGCCCCAAAGCGGCTGTACGCATGGAGCGGAGGAGCTACATCACGGCTCGTGCCACTCGCGCCGCACGGGCTACGCTCGGCCGCAGCAAGAACACTCGATGTCGCTTTCTCGAAACCACTGCGTGCACCACAGAGGCGGGTGAGCAAGCGAGCGCACAGCGAGAGGGCGCAGAGTGAGAGAGCTCAAGCGGTCGGCCGACACGACAGCTGGCAGCAGCACACGGCAAGCGGCGTGGTGGGATGCACACGCGAAGCGGAAGGCGGAAGCTGCTGCTGCCGCCGCGAATGTTTGGCATTCTCGTCACCACGGTGAAAAGGGGACACCCTCTCAGAGCGATGGCTGGGGAGCGGCGGAGGATGGGGGAGGGACAGAGGGGGGGAAGTCGCAGAGAGGGAGGGAAGTCACGTGACCAGTGCACAGGGATGACTGGGTCATGTGCCTTTGACGGTGCGTTTGCTGAAGTAATTCCCCACCTCCTGTCCCCCCGCCCTCAGGCTCATGCTCCATGCCTCACCTCGACTGTGGACCAGTCACAGCAATGTTTTGCTCTACTCTTCTACTCACTGCTGGCAGTAACGGGATGAATACAAATACCGACTGTAACATGTGCAGCGTTAATCAATAACAGGGCCAGCCAAGCATGTACGGCAGCCAAGCATTTCCAGCAGCAACAGCAGCGTTGATCTCTTACATCGGCACCATCCAGTCCACACAACCTCCATCCACAATCTAGGCCACCACTGCTCCAGACAAAATCTTCAAACTGCACACACACTGTACTACACAAGGTATGCATCTTCGCCCACGTGTCTGGAATGTTGAAATACTGTGCACACTTGGGAACACTGTTACACGTGTTTTAATAAGCCGTGTTGTTGTCTCCTTATGTTAACAGTAACAAACTTCCCTTTGTGGTTTTGGAGCAGCTCTACAGATCTTAAGCAGATCAGTGCTGCCTTCACTGCATCGCAAACAGAAACCCATGCGGCAAGACACCAGTTGTTTGTGGTGTGTGACTATAAATGCACTCGACTTCAAAGGACGTGAGAATTTTATTTAATATTTTGGAACCGATTCCACAAAACGCAGGGGCCCGTGGAGATCCAGCCACCCATGTTTCAGAGTTCTTCGCTGGCTAGGTGGAATGGGCGAATGAAAGAGGAAATGAATGAGGCCGAGAGCAAACAAAGAGGGACCGCATAGGGCAATGAGCAGACCGACCCCACTTCTCCCTCTCCTAGCAAAGCCCTGACTCAGCTGTCTGTTCCAATGGTGCCTCTGTCACCGTCGGTCTTCAATGCCTACTGCCCTTCCTTTGGAACGTGCGAATCAGAGGACAACACGTGCTACGCACCCCTCCGCTGTGCAGCATCAAGTATTTACTTAAGGCGTAAAAACTAATTCTTTACGGGGAATGGCTCGATGCAGATAGTGAGGGTTAAACATTTCTGGATATCCTGGACATTCAAATAAGTATACTTTTTTAACAGTGGTTGAGCACAGGCTCAAAGGTTCGAAACGTTCAGCGGCTAACAACAATTGGAACTTTAAAGGTTTTGCTAAACAAGAGGAACACATTCCATTAAATGAGCAAGGCTATAATTGTATGAGCTTGGGGAGGTTATGTCAAAGAGGGAGAGAGCAAGGGAGGAAGAAGAAAAGTCTTGTGACCTGCGGTCTTTCTTTCGTATGACATGTGAATACATATTATACCGAGTCTGACGATCCATGCAACGGCATCAGAACTGCTCAATGTGCAGCGTCCGAGCCGCCTGTGTAAGCGTGTGCTGGGCAGCAGTCGGTTATGCAATGAACGTCACTCTCTCGTTCCCCATTTGGTCGTTTAGCCCAGTGTGGGTAGGATGAAACAGCGAGTCTAGTAAGCAGAGCCCTCGACACGGGTGGAGAAACCACGGAGTTGAATTCACGGGAACGGTCGTGGTAGCGGCGATGGAGGAGTCTGCGTCTCATGTATGTTGAACTTCCTTCGCACATGGTGCTACTCCTTCTGCAGAGCATTGCACATAGCCCCTTGCAGCAAGATAAACCGAAACGCGAAAGATATTAACATTTTTCAAGTACAGTAAAAAAATTAAGCACCTTGAAACAATTTTCGGCGACTCCTGATGCCGTTAGCTTTGCCGCAGCAGGGGTTCCAAAGTCAGAGTTGAAGAAAAAAACAACGCCCCAGTGAGGCCGCGTTGAACGCTTGTGACAGCTGCCCTTTTAAGGAAACAATTTAAAGAAGCGTGTTTGTATTCACGAAACTGCCATCACAACGTATAAGGCCCCAATAAATCTCCGGGGGAAAAGAGAGGCGTGCCATTGTGCATGCCAATGGCGCCGGCGCCTTCGCGCCAAACCGAACGGCGGCGCGTTGGCGCGTCAGTCCTCCTTGCCGGATCGCCGGCGACGCTCCAAATCGTTGGGGCCCACGTGCTGGATTAGCGTGAACTCGGGACCGCGGGCGCGTGGCGGCAGACGAAACGCAAGCTCGCGCGCTACAACAGCCAACGGATGTTGTTATTCTCTGCGACACCCACGCATTCATGTGTGCGGTTTGGTACCGCGAACTGGTGAAATCAGTACACGCGCGTTCTCTCTTACACACACGTCCCTTCTTCTACACAAAGACAAAGATCCCCCGTATAGCCTGAACAAACTGTTGGGGCAAGTGCTGTTCACAAGCATCTTTGAAGGCTGGCCAGCACCACGCCCGGCCGCCTTTGTCTCCCCAGTGGCGATGTTTACACACCACACCAGGTCAGGGGTGGAGCCAGGATTTCAGGCCGGGGTGACATTCAACAAATTTTAATTTCAAGAATGATTAGAGTCAGGCTGTTGAACTAGACGCCATCGGTTGACGACACACTCTGACAATCCAGTTGCACGGAGTCCGCCAGACCGAGTGTCGTACACTTATACGCAGAATGTCACCCCTGTCACCCCCCCTGGCTCCGCCCCTGCACCAGGTACTCATTTGAGGCCAAGTCGACCTGGGGCAGGCCCAGGACCGATGCAGATAATCGTCACTGGTATTGGGCATGAGCGGCAATCGAACTCAGGTCGCCGGGTTGGTAGCGCAGCGTGCTAACAATTACACTACCACTCCCCATTTTACACACACACGCATACAGGGGGATAACGCCAAATGCATGAATGGGAGCGGCCATGCGAGGTGACGTCCCCGGAGAATATAACATCTAATTTGTGAAATGGCACGTATTGTTTAAAGCAAGCGAAACCTAAAAACACCCATCACTTCTGTGGTCGATAAAATTAGTACCACTGTGTTGTGTATTGGTAGGTCATCGGTTGTTGTCCTATGGACGACTCGGCCCTGCCATAAGAATGTGAAATTTTCACCACGGCCTCAGTGCTCACTTGAGCGGGAACCCACCGACTTTTTTTTATATCAACAACACAAACAGTCTGAGAAACTGTCAGAGCACACGGCAGGGCACAGGGTCAGAGTACGCGGCAGGGCACACGGCAGGGCACGTGGCAGGGCACACTGTCAGAGGACGCGGCATGGCATGTGCCGACTGTACTAGTTTAGTTCAAGTTAAATAAATTACATGAGTTTGATTTGAGATGCTTCATCGTACAGTGAGGGAAAAAAGTATTTGATCCCCTGCTGATTTTGTACGCTTGCCCACTGACAAAGAAATTAACAGTCTATAATTTTAATGGTAGGTTTATTTGAACAGTGAGAGACAGAATAACACAGAAATCCAGAAAAACGCATGTCAAAAATGTTATAAATTGATTTGCATTTTTATGAGGGAAATAAGTATTTGAACCCCTCTCAATCAGAAAGATTTCTGGCTCCCAGGTGTCTTTGATACAGGTAACGAGCTAAGATTAGGAGCACACTCTTAAAGGGAGTGCGCTCCTAATCTCAGCTTGTTACCTGTATAAAAGACACCTTTTCACAGAAGCAATCAATCAATCAGATTCCAAACTCTCCACCATGGCCAAGACCAAAGAAGAAACACAAAAGAACTTTCAATCTCCCTCGGCCTGGGGATCCATGCAAGATCTCACCTCGTGGAGTTGCAATGATCATGAGAACGGTGAGGAATCAGCCCAGAACTACACGGGAGGATCTTGTCAATGATCTCAAGGCAGCTGGGACCATAGTCACCAAGAAAACAATTGGTAACACACTACACCGTGAAGGACTGAAATCCTGCAGCGCGCGCAAAGGTCCCCCTGCTCAAGAAAGCACATATACATGCCCGTCTGAAGTTTGCCAATGAACATCTGCATGATTCAGGGGACAACTGGGTGAAAGTGTTGTGGTCAGATGAGACCAAAATGGAGCTCTTTGGCATCAACTCAACTCGCCGTGTTTGGAGGAGGAGGAATGCTGCCTATGACCCTAAAAACACCATCCCCACCGTCAAACATGGAGGTGGAAACATTATGCTTTGGGGGTGTTTTTCTGGTAAGGGGACAGGACAACTTCACCGCATCAAAGGGACGATGAACGGGGCCATGTACCATCAAATCTTGAGTGAGAACCTCCTTCCCTCAGCCAGGGCATTGAAAATGGGTCGTGGATGGGTATTCCAGCATGACAATGACCCAAAACACACGGCCAAGGCAACAAAGGAGTGGCTCAAGAAGAAGCACATTAAGGTCCTGGAGTGGCCTTGCCAGTCTCCAGACCTTATTCCCATAAAAAATATGTGGCAGGAGCTGAAGGTTCGAGTTGCCAAATGTCAGCCTCGAAACCTTAATGACTTGGAGAAGATCTGCAAAGAGGAGTGGGACAAAATCCCTCCTGAGATGTGTGCAAACCTGGTGGCCAACTACAAGAAACGTCTGACCTCTGTGATTGCCAACAAGGGTTTTGCCACCAAGTACTAAGTCATGTTTTGCAGAGGGGTCAAATACTTATTTCTCTCATTAAAATGCAAATCAATTTATAACATTTTTGACATGCGTTTTTCTGGATTTTGTTGTTGTTATTCTGTCTCTCACTGTTTAAATGAACCTACCATTAAAATTATAGACTGATCATTTCTTTGTCAGTGGGCAAACGTACAAAATCAGCAGGGGATCAAATACTTTTTTCCCTCACTGTAAGTGCAATGATGACATTGTGCATCTCATTCGCTGTACAGTTTGTATCTTGTTTCTATTTTAGATATATACGACTCGGAGGTATATTTTTCACGAGATAAAACGTGCATGTGCCACACAATCGTGGAGAAATCAAAACGAACGGGAACATGTTCCGAGAGGAGATATCACAAGACTAGGTCATGTACAGGCTGCGGGCCATGCATCAAAAGGCTGACCAACCCCCACGATGCAGCTCCTTCCACAAACGACAACGGAGCTCGTTTCTCTCCAAGCGGAAGCGGTCTCTGCTTGCTTCGTTATCACAGTCGCGGCAAAGTGCGGCCTTGAAAAACTGTTTTTGAGCGGCACCAGGGAGGGCACACACGCCCCCAGTGGACTCACGGCCAGTACCATCACCACCACCAACGTCCCCCCTACGTCGCCAGTAAGCGCGGTTATCCCTCATTAAACGCGGCCAGTGAGCGCCGCGGGGCTTTGGGTGCCAAAAACCACCACCACACCAATTTCACGTACTCACTGTGACTGGTACTACCGTGCTCACAGATACAGCAGAAGAGAAGAAGACTCAGATACTGCTACCGATAACCCAAACCCCAAAATCCTAAACGCTAACTCTAACCCCACAACCCCAACGCCCTAATCCTAAACTGTACTTCCAAAACCCCAACTCACTAACCCTAAACCCTAGCTCCTTAACCTAAACTCCTTAAACCCCAACACCCTAACACTAAACCCTTACTCCCTAACCGTAAACCCCAAACGTAAACGCTAACTCTATCTCCATATTAACAAGAACTTCCTAACCCGAACTTCCTAAACCATACCTGCCTAACGCTAAACCCTCACTCTGTAACTCTACCTCCATAACCCTAACTGCCGAATCCTAACTCGCTAACGTTTAACCATAAACCTATCCTTGAACCCCAATCCTAAACCCTTAATCCTTTCTCTAAACCCTCACATAATTCACATGCATTGATCACACCATGTCTCTCAGCAACATCAGCGTAGAAGGCAGATTTCCCCGTTGTGTCTGCGGTGCGCATATGCACACGTACGCGTTTGCACATGCATGCGTGCATGCACACGTGTAGCGAGTTCAACTGAGTCGCAGACGTTGTCTTGGGAGCGACACTATTTATTACATCAACTCAACACAACATAACGTAACCTACACTTGGGTCTTGAATGCCCATCTAACCACGCTACGGCAGAACTAGACACGGTCCCGCTATCCCGGTCCGGACCGCGTGGCTAGAGGCTTCTTCAACCCGACGTGGATCTTCTTCACCAACAACCCGAAGAACCCCGAGCCCCGCACGGGGCCCCCGTGATATCGGCCTGGGCTGGGGATGGCTCCGCCCCTCGCCCCGCCCACCTTCTAGATCTCTGGAGCTCTTTCCCAAAGGCCCCCCGAGAGCTCCTCTATACCACGTGACCGCCCAGCAGGCCCCCGTCCACCGGTGGCCCCCCTCCAATATCATCCGGTCACGTGTCGGCAGGTCAACCAGCGTATCATGCCCCAACGTAACCCTGGCTGGCACTCTATCGCTCCCTCACCGGGAGCCCACACCGCACACTGTACGTGGTGCCTCTGCGCTAACCAGCGCTCACCGAAGCCCAGCTAGGGCCGGCACTACGCCCATTAAACGGGCTGCACATTATGACAACACATTATCCGCCGTGGCCTCACAAGCCCGGCACCACACAGTGACATGTAAAAGGGTAAGTGATGCATTGTATGAAAAGGAAAACAAGCACTGTGCCACACAGGAACGTTAAAAACAAAACAGTGAAAGGAATTAGCCCTGGGAATGGGTCATCCGAGAAAAGTTTTGATTTCTAAACAATTGACCTATTCTACCGAGGCAGTCCCACCTTGATGTCCTGTCGTGGTTACAAATGACAAACATTTGACCTCGGGGCAGTAATGCTCTTTCATAACAATACTACAACCGTAGTAATCAAGTGACTTCCTTGCTCAAATAAGCACTGAGGCGATGCTCATCTCCTATTTACAGCCCCTGATATGTTATGGATATTCCACATTCCTATGACCGGGGCACGTCTAGCCATAAGACAAGCACTGTTGACTTTTCCACAGTGGTACTCATTTTTATCGACCCTGGAGGGATGATGGGCTGAGTCAATGAGGAATGAAACTCGGACCTTGCGATTGCGAGCTGCTCGCTCTACCGCTGAGCTACCTGGACACCTCCAGTAATGGTGCTCTCTTGTCTGTTATTATTATCACTGTAAAACTGTTAAAAATAATCTATCCCTCGAGTTTCCTGGCTGACTGCTGGCTGGGCTCCTCTCTACCACAACAATGACTCAATTGTTAGTTGATGCGGGCCATTGCCACTGAAACTAACTGGGTAACTCTCTGCACAGGATTTTATGTGTAACAAATAACTGCTCGACCCGAGCTATGAATGCTTTGTTCTTTGCATTGTCTTCGTGCTGTTTGCCTTTTGGAATTCTTTGAGACAAGGCCATGAAGAAGGCTGGTGTAGGCCAATCAGTTTCAAGCAAAATGCATATATTATCAAGGCATGTTTGGTTG